CCGGCACAGTCGAGCCGGAGCATCGGGTTCTTGATGCTTGTGGGGTCAAGTTTGACCTTATGTGGCATAATATGCAATAATAAGGCTATGCTGTCTCCCGGCTTTTTGAGATATGATCCCTCAAAGTCGAATTATGGTTTACTGGTGACCATAAAGTAGTAGCGTCTGTCCTGTTTGCGATATCTTCACACGAATACTTTAAAGTCTCGACAATCACTAAGCTGCTTATATGGCACCGCAGCGGCTCCCTTGGGGATGCCTGAGGCCACCCCAACCACTCACCAAGCCTTACGTGGACGAATTCAAACCTACTTTTATGGTTTACCTACACTAAGGGAGTAGAGGGGAGATGGCTCTTGTGCGTTCGAACCGATTCGAAGTATCGAGAGACGAGTCGGACTGTCGTGACGAGACTCGAGAGAGGACTCCGAGTACCGAGACTCGTGCAGTGACCAGGCTTAACGCGTTACTTTTTATATTGTTCGGTGCGCAGCTCAGTAAGAGGTCCTTTCGAAAGGTAAGCGAGGCAAACGACCCCAATATGAATCCCTGCGATGTCGCATGTGCTCGAGCCAGAGAACACAGAAGCGCTCACGCGGCGCGGTTGTTCGAACCAAACTTCGTCCACAATCGTGACGCCCCCAAGACGGCTAGGTGCCCGCGCGGCGACCCAGCAAGGCTGTCAGCCGCGAGCCAGCTCAAAAGCTGACGCGTGGCGAGAGCCGGTCGTAGCGAGTGCCACCGGGCGGCGCGTGGCTATCGGCGCCGGCGCGCACGAGCGCGGCCATCCACCCCTCTCGCTCTTGCTCGGTGAGCGCCTGCAAGACAGATGGGGCGAGAGCGCGAGGCGGTGGCGTGTGTGCGCCTGTCTCTGCTGTCATAGAGGGCCGATCCGAGAGAACCCGAGACCACCCCACCCGAGATGACCCGAGATGACCCGAGATGACCCGAGATGACCCGAGATGGCCCGCGAGATCTTTCCGAGATCAGCGCCTGAAGGACGATGACACGCCGCCGCTCTCCCGCGCGCCGCGCCTCGCCCGCGCCGCTCGCCGCCGCGGGCAGCAGCGCGAGACGGAGGGATGGCGCGTCGCCGGCGCCCGGCTGGAGCAGCGCGTGGCGTACGTAGGCGAAGCCGCGCGGGCCCTGCTGGCAGGGCGGCGAGAAAGAGAGGGAGAGAGAGGGAGAGAGGGGGAGGGAGAGAGAGAGGGAGTTAGGGGGCGAGCGGGCTTTGGCAGGGGCTGGGGATGCGGACAGGTTGCTGGGGGTGTGCGTGTGGTGGGAGAGGGGCGTGGCGCGCGAGGGAGAGACCGCAGTATGTGCGTGACTGCGAAGCAGGACTTGTTCTATGCGTGCGCAGTGCGCGCGTCGCTCTCCTTGCGCGAGAGAGCGTCGACGTCGGAGAGATGCCACATGAGGAGGGCGCGCCTGAGTAGCCGAGATTAGCCGAGATTAGCCGAGATTAGCCGAGATTAGTCGAGATTGGCCGAGATTGGTCGAGATTGGCTGAGATTGGTCGAGATTGGCCGAGATTGGCCGAGATTGGCCGAGCTCGAGCTTAGCCACGTGAGTGTGTGTGAGGAGAGCAATATACAGGACACTCGTAGGCCGCCTAAAACCGCGAATCTCGGCGAATCTCGGCGAATCTCGGCGAATCTCGGCGAATCTCGGCGAATCTGGCCTCTCTCCGTCGGAGCCGCGCGAGGCCGCCAGCGTGAAGAAGCGGCGCCGGAGGGCGGTGTTGGCGCCCCCCTTCTTGCGCAGCCAGCCCGTGTGCACCACCGCCGCGGCGGGGGCGGCGCGCGTCTGCGGAGGAGGAGGAGGTAGGCCTCCGCTGCCTAGGAAGTGCCTCGGAAGTGTCTAGGAAAAGGCCTCCGCTGCCGCGCGTCGCAAGTGGCGTCTAACGGCGCCGGTGCGCGGCGCAGCGGCCTCCGCCGAGGCGGCGCGCGCCGCTGCCTCGGCCTCTTCGCGGAAGCGGAGCGAGGCGGCGAAGCGCGCGTCCTTGACGGCGATCGAGGCCAGGCGGCGCCGCTTCTCCACCAGCGCCTGCGCATGCCCCGCCACACACAGTGTGACCGCGCAGTTCGAGGAGTCGCTCACACTGGTCGGTGCGTGCGGAGGAGCCGGGGGTGGCGCTTCGTCCCTCTTGATCAGCTTCTGGTGACGTTCTAACGGACTACTAGATGGGTAGTCGGAGGGGCGCCTCCTCCTCCGCGCGGTGAAGCACCAGAGCGATCTTATAGTCCGTCCCCAGCTGCTCCGCCAGCGGCTCCAGCTCCGCAGCCGAGCCAACAGCGGCGAGCTTGCGGCCCGACCGGGCGCGAGCCAGTGCGGCCGCGTTGGACTGGACGATGCGCTCGGCGTGGGAGACGAGGCGAGCCTGCGCCTCAGTTGGGGGTGAGGCCTCTGTGGCTGCCACGGCGGCGTTGGTGAGGGCACGGAGCCGCCGGCTGCTTGCGCCCACCGCCGCCACCGCCTCCGCCCAGTCTGCGGTCTCTCCCGACGAAGCGAGCGTGCTCGGCGTGCCCGGCGTGCCCGGCGCCTCGGGGTCCAAGGACGAGGTGAGCAGGCCTCGCCACAGGTCGAGGTAAGGGTCGGAGTCGGGAGGGTCGGCGTCTGTGGTAAGGTCCTCCGTCGCCAGGCACTGCTCCTCCTCGGTGGAGGAAATTTCCTCCGAGTCGGTGTCATTAGCCATGCGCGCCATCCCGCACTCGGGGTCGGGCCCATAGGACCGGGATTCAGGACTGAGGCCGAAGAGGTCACGCAGCTGCGGCGGCAAGCGCTCCGCTGCAGGGCCCTCCTTGGCATGGCAACCATCGCTGTCTTCCCCATCAGTAGGGTCGGGCGTCGCCTCTGCCCACTCACGCGCTGAATTCATCTCGCGTGCGAGCGACAAGAGCTCCGCGGTGTCCATAACTCGGCCACACCGATCACCGCGAAAGCAAAGCGGCTGGAAAGCGACCGTGTTTTATGGATTTCTTTTTTTTTTGCGTTTCGCTTCGGGAGAAACCAATGCTGCAACCAAAAATGATTGTTAGAGTTGTTTCGTGGTACTGATAAAAATCTCATGTCCCTCCTAGTACGTTCACCCCACGTGCCACGAATAACCCGCCCTCCGGGGCCCTAACAGAGGCGCCTCGCTACACCTCTCGAGTCCGAGGAGAGAGACACACAGCCACACACAAACTCGTTCGCTCGCCAGTGGCGATCACAACATCGATACGCTGCGGATGAGCGGGCCAAAGCCGTTGGGCATGTGCTCGTAGTCGGCCTGCCCGAAGTTGGCGACGAGCGAGGCGCCGTCGGCCACGCTCACCGCGGGGAAGACCTCGCCACGGATGCCTGCTCACGGCCGCGCCGGTGTGAAGGCGCCTCGTCTTTCTGGGGTGGGGGGTGGTGTGGCGCAGGGCGGGCGCGCCGCTCATCTGGTGCACGAGGGAGGAGCCCTTGTAAAAGTAGACCTGCACCGGGTAGTCCGCCTGGTCGATCGCACAGCCGATGACGTCGCCCTCCTGAGGCGTGCCGAGGACGGACCGGTGGCGGAGGCGCCAGGCGACGGCGACTTGGCGCACGGTGCGGGGTCAGCGGATGCGGGTGCGGGTGCGACAGGTAGATGCTTCGGACGCGCCTGGAGCGGCGGCAACCCGGGCTGGGTACTCGTCACCGTCCACGCCGTCGCCGCCTTGTCGGGCGTGAGCAGGCCCTCCAGAGGGCAGTCCTTGGCCGCGACGCCAATCGCAAACGCGCCCGCCTTGCGGATCGTCACCTCAAAGTAGCCCTTGTCCTGCGGCGAGGAGAGCAACGAGAGAGAGGGCATGTGAGGCGTGAGGTCCGCTCTGGGTCGCGCGTGCGCGTCCGCCACGCCACGCGAGCGGCGTGCGCGCGAGGCGGCGGGCTTGCGCCGCGCCTGCAGGATGGCAGAGTCACCGAGCACGCTGCCGGTCCCGCTGATGGTGCGGTCCTCGAGTTTGATCTCGGTGGCGCAGAGCTGGCTGCTCAGGGCGACCGGCGGGAGTGGCGCCGGCGTGTCGTCCGCCGGTTCGCTCGACCAGCAGCAGCCCATGAGCGCGTGTCGTGAAGCGCCTCTATGTTTCTGTCAAAAGAATTCTGGCAGGGCCGTATTTTTCTTTCTTTTTCACCTGGCGGTGGCGCGCCGGCCCTCTCACCGCCTCCCTCGGCGCCCCGCGCCGGCGCACGACGCGCTTCAACTGCGCATCCTCCGGGTTGAGTTGTTGCCCGCGAGGTGGCAGGTGCTCGCCGAGGGTCGTCGGGAGAGTGACCCCTGATCCGGGAGTTGCAAGAAAACTCTAAGTGCACCAGGCACGGGACGACTGGCGCGCACTGGCACTAACACCACACGCGAGACTCAGTGTCAGTCGTACTCTGCGTCCTCCTCGTCGGGGAAGTCGCCTCCGACGTCGAGCTTCTCCCCTCGCTCGTCGACAATGTCGAGGCCGCGGCCGAGCTCGAGCTCGCGCCGAAAGCGGCTCCACGCCTACGCCATTCGTTACCATTGATTAACCGCCCGAGCTCGGAGCGGAGGCTAAATCTCCACACATCTCCCAGCCCCCCTCCCCCCCTCTCCCCGCCACGCGCCTCGTCGATGCCGCCCATCCCGTCTCGCTCCATCAGCTCCCTCCAGATGTCGTCGCCTACAGGACGGCTCAGAAGGGTCCGAGAAGGGTCCTCCTGCTCCTCCGGTCCGCTCCTCCTCCAATCTCGCCCATCCCGCCGACGCCGAGGACGGTCTCGTCGTTCGCGCCTAGCCTCGGCGGGTCCACCTCGGCTTTGTGCTGCCGCTTCTGAGATCTCGCGCGATCTCCCACACCCGACATCTCCCACACCCGACACCACCCCCCTGCGCCTCCGCCTCCGCTGGTTGACCAAGCAGGGCGAGCCTCCGGGGCTGCTCTCGTCCCCCGCCTTCGGCGCCCTCCTCCGAGGGCGTGGACGCGGGCGCATGTCGGCTACTCTCGGCCTGCTCTCGTGTCAGTCTCGGCCTAAGCTCGCCTCCCGTCTTTGGCGCCCTCCTCCGGAACTTGACGCGCGCGCCTGCCATCCACTCTCAGTGATCAGCGATCGGATAGCGGTGATCCAGCTCTGCGCACCGCGGGCACAAGTGCCGTCTGCGTTGACTCCCTTTGGGTAGGAGCCCAGCAGGCGCATCTCCCCGTCCCCGAGCTTGTAGACCGAGTACGTCACCTGCGCACGGGACGGGAAGGCGTGGCGACGAACCGCGCCCAGCCCGCGGCCGCAGCGGCACCGCACCGCTGCGTTGCCCTTGCGCATCTTGCTGCCGAGCGTGAGCGCCTGCTGCTTGGTCGAGAGGCGGACGGTGTGGCGGCCGAGCTCGCACATCTCGGCGCCGCCGTACAGCGACTCGTACACAAACGGCATCGGCGTGAACCACCTAGGCCGCGGGAAGGCGCACACGGTGGGACAGGGTCTCGGCGCCGCTGCTGACGCCAGTGAGCGCAGAGGCCGCGTTGCTGCTCACATTAGCACAAATAGCGGCGGACCGCCGATCTGAAGGTGCAGCGCGGGATTCCGCGAAGATTCTGACAGCCTCGCGGGACGAACCGAGGGCAGCGGACGCGAGTTCACCAACATTGATCCGGTCGGGAAAAAAAGAAGTGGCGCGGGGTTGTTTTTTTCTTTCTTTCCCTGGATGTGAGGCTGCCGACTGCACTCCAAGTGCTCCAAGTCGCGGCCCAGTCCGCGGTTAATGACGGCACTCCAAGTGCTCCAAGTGCTCACACAGCATGAGCAACCCGCCGAGGGTGGGCGACCGGGCTAGCAACACACCTCTCTCCTTAAATCCCTGTGTGGTGGCGGCAGCGTGCCGTGGTCCTCCTCCCATCTCTCCCTTACAGCTTGCCATCTCTGTTTCTTTCTTTCCTCTACGCTCTACACGGCAAACCACGCAAATTGCAAGGTGGAATCTAAGCAAAACAGCCGCCTACAAGCTACATGCTCAAAGCAGCATGAGGAGAGAGCCGCGCCGTCGCCATCGGCGCCACCGCCTCCCACGCGCCCACTGCCGGGTCGTACCGCTCCACCGAGCTGAGGCGACTGTGGCCGGCACCTGCACCCGACCCGCCTGCGACATAGAGCTTGCCGTTGAGCGCCGCCACGGCGTGATTATACCGGGCCGCCGCCATCGGCGCCACCGCCTCCCACGCGTTCGTCGCCGGGTCGTACCGCTCCGCCGAGCTGAGGTAGCCGTCGTCGCAGTAGCCGCCCGCAGCGTACAGCTTGCCGTCGAGCACCGCCCCACCATGGTCGCTCCGAGCCTCCGCCATCGGCGCCACCGCCTGCCACGCATCCAACGCCGGGTCGTACCGCTCCACCGAGCTGAGGAAGCCGTCGTCGTCGTTGAAGCCTCCCACAGCGTACAGCTTGCCGTCTAGCACCGCCACGTCGTGATGGCACCGCGCCTCTTCAATCGGCGCCACCGCCTCCCACGCGTTCGTCGCGGGGTCGTACCGCTCGACCGAGCTGAGGATGGCGTCGTCGTCGTTGCAGCCTCCCACCGCGTACAGCTTGCCGTCGACCACAACCGTGGCGTGAGAGTCCCGTGCCGTCGCCATCGGCGCCGCCTCCTCCCACGCATTCGTCGCAAAGTCGTACCGCTCCACCAGGTTCGAAGGTGCGCCGCCCTCCCTGCCGCCCACCGCGTAGAGCTTGCCACCGAGCACCGCCGTGCCGACATACCTTCGTGTCGTCGGCATCGGCGCCACAGCCTCCTCCTCCCACTCGTTGGTTGACGGGTCGTACCGCTCCAGCGAGTTGACAGTCCCACCCTCGTTGTCGCCGCCGATCACGAGCATGCGCGGCCTCTCGCGCTTCTTCAGCGTCTCCTTCCAGCCGCGGCGCCACGCGCGGCACGTTCCCTTGGCGGCGTGCTCCTTGGTCGGCAGCTGGGCGAGGATGTGCGGGGCGAGGTCCGGCGAGAGGAGGACCTCGGAGAGCACCCACTCGGGCTGCTCCACGAGCCGAGCGGCGTGCTCCTCCGCCACGCGCAGCGCGGCGTCGCTCGCGCCCGCCTGCGCCTCGATGATGGCGCACAGCTGCGCTGGCGAGAGGCCCGCGACGCGCGCACCGATGCGGTGGGAGGCCATCCACGCGGCCCCTACAAGGGTTCGCTCGCGAGGGTGTTCAGTAAGGTAAAGTAAGGTAAACTTCTCCACACACACGAGGTGGTGGGGCAAGGGGGGGCAACCCTCGCGTCTCCACGTCTGACGACAGGAGCCCCACGGCATTCAAAGTGCAAGGCCCAGTGCGCGTGGGTGAGCGGTGTGTGTGTGTGTGTGTGTGTGTGTGTGTGTGTGTGTGTGTGTGTGTGTGTGTGTGTGTGTGTGTGTGTGTGTGTCTCACGTCACTCCTCCGCCGGTTCCTCCCGTCGCCTCTTCTTTGTTCGAATGTTTTTCAATCCATCCTTCACGAAGCCCTCCCATGTAGCTAGCGTTCTTGGCGAATGTCTCGAAATGGCCAGCAGGCGCTGTCTGCTCGCGGTCTGTGCGGGCCGCTCGTCCTCCTCGCCCTTCTTTCGTCCTCCCGTCCCTCCCCTCCACCATGGCCTTCTCGGCACTTCTTTCTCCATCCGCCTCGCCCTGCCTTTTCGCATCGTGCCTGTCTTCAGACTTCACACCTTCCTACCTAACCTAACCTAACCGTCTCTATCTGTGTGCGCATGTTGAAACACACGTGCCGCCTTGGGGCATGGCTCGCGCGAGCTTGTTTGCTCTGTGCGAATTCAACGGGAAAGTGTACAAAGATCTGACACGATACACTGAACAGAGACCCGTCCGCGTCGCGCTGGGAGGTGGGAGAAGCGATACCCGCCCGCCGCCGCACCGGCCCGCGCCTGAGCCCACTAGTTCAGGACTGCGATATAAGCGCGTCGCGCCGTCCCCATCGGCACCACCGCCTCCCACGCATTCGTACCAGGGTCGTACCGCTCGACCGAGCTGAGGATGTCGTTGTTGAAGCCTGCACCCTGTCCGCCCACCGCATGCAGCTTGCCGTCGAGCACCGCCACGGCGTGTTCAGCCCGCGCCTCTGCCATCGGCGCCACCGCCTCCCACGCATCCAGCGCCGGATCGTACCGCTCCACCGAGCTGAGGAGGCCGTCGTTGTACCCGCCCACAGCATACAACTTGCCATCGAGCACCGCCACGGCGTGATGGCACCGAGCCGTCGCCATCGACGCCACCGCCTCCCATGCATCCAGTGCTGGGTCATACCGCTCCACCGAGCTGAAGTAGTCACCGTCGTGGCCGCCCACAGCGTACAGCTTGCCGTCGAGCACTGCCACGGCGAAACTACACCGCGCCGCCGCAATCGGCGCCACCGCCTCCCACGCGTTCGCAGCCGGGTCGTACCGCTCCACCGAGCTGAGGGCGCCGTCGTCGTTGTGGCCTCCCACCGCGTACAGCTTGCCGTCGAGCGCCGCCATGGCGTGAGCAAACCGCTCGACCACCATCGGCGCCACCGCCTCCCACGCATTCGTAGCCAAGTCGTACCGCTCCACCAGGTTGGAATTTGCGCCGTCAGCCTCATTCTGGCCGCCCACCGCGTAGAGCTTGCCATCGAGCACCGCCATGCCGACATACGTTCGTGCCGACGGCATCGGCGCGACAGCCTCCTCCTCCCACTCGTTGGTTGACTGGTCGTACCGCTCCAGCGAGTTGACAAACTCGTCGTTGTCCTCATCGCGGCCGCCGACCACGACCAGGCGCGGCCTCTCGCGCTTCTTCAGCGTCTCCTTCCAGCCGCGGCGCCACGCGCGGCACGTCCCCTTGGCGGCGTGCTCCGTGGTCGGCAGCTGGGCGAGGATGTGCGGGGCGAGGTCCGGCGAGAGGAGGACCTCGGAGAGCACCCACTCGGGCTGCTCCACGAGCCGAGCGGCGTGCTCCTCCGCCACGCGCAGCGCGGCGTCGCTCGCGCCCGCCTGCGCCTCGATGATGGCGCACAGCTGCGCTGGCGAGAGGCCCGCGACGCGCGCACCGATGCGGTGGGAGGCCATCCGCGCTATCGGTCCCCTCTCCGCCTGCAAGCTTGGATTTCGCTCGCAAGGGTGTTCGGAACTCGCTTCGTGGTTCAGTCCTAGCCTGGCTGTTCTTTTCACCTTCGATACATACATACGCTCCTACTGTGCCGTCACCCGCGTATTCAAAGTGCAAGGCCCAGTGCACGTGGTGAGCACACAGGCTGGGAGAAAGAAGAGGTCGGGGCCCCACCCCGCAGAGCCGCAGTATGCATGTGTGCAATACAGTATGCTCCAGAGCGGCGCGTCCTCTCCGCTGCAAGCCCCCCCCCCCCCCCCCCCGCGCGCGCGGCCCCGAGCAGGGCTCGCCCGCCGCCGCCGCCTCACATCCCCCTCTGGAAGAAAGCGGCCGTCTGCGAGAAGTAGGTCTCGGTCCCCTCCTTGGAGTCGCCTACGCAAACCACGAGCGCGCGTACGGCACACACGAAGCCAGGGCGGGCCTCGAGGCCCCTCTCTGGCGTCGCCGGCGGCGGAAGGGTTGACCAGCTCGATGCCCTGCACCGGCGTGAAGGCGAGCGAGGATGCGAGCCCGTTTGTGCTGCCCGAGGAGCCGGCGAGCCGCGCCCGCCTGTCCAGCAACCAGTTCAGCATTACGCGCGGAGTCACCGACGAGCAGACTCGGGCGGAGCCGGCGCGCGCTTGTTCTTCTCGGAGAGCAGCTGCTGCTTCTGCGCGTTCACCTTGACCTTGCCCCCCTGCTGCGACTTTCCGAGCATTCCGACACCGAGCATGCCGTCGGACGTCATGTCCTCCTCCTGCCCGAACCGCACCCGGTTGGAGAGCTGCCGCATGTGCGTCATACCCATCCGCTCCTTCATCTTGCGCAGCCGCCGCCCGCCGCGCCGCTTGCCGCTAGACTCGGGCGGCACCTGCTCGCAGCTCCGCGCGACGTGTGAAGAGACGCCGTTCACACCGGACGGCCCGACCTCCGACTCGGTGCGGCACCGCCAGCGGCCGCACGTCCTTCGGCGGCGGCGGCTCCGAAAGCTTGGCCGACCGCATCTCGATCTCGTCGCGGAACTTTTGGCCGACGGAGCCGTCGCCAGAGTTCTGGTACGCGTCCGCGCGCGCCGCCAGCGTCACCTTGCCGGCGGGCATGCGGGAGATAGAGTGTGCTGGGTGATAGGTGTGCTGCCACTTCCGAGACAGAGACTATGAATGATGGCAAGAAGAGTGGAGGCACCTTGCCGGCGACCATGCGGACCACCTTTGGCCTCAGTCCTGGCGGCGTGTTGAGGATGATGTCGCACTGCGAGATGCAGCCAGAGTGCGTGACTTGCGTCGAGGTGGACATGCCTGCTCACAGCTGGCCGCTGTGAAGAGACGCCGCCAGCGTGCGCGCGCGACCTCTGCGTCGACGTGCGGCATGCCCGCGAGCGCGCGCTTCTTCGAGCCGAGGATCTGCACGACCGTCGAGGGCAGCTCGGCCAGCTTGGACATGCCTAGGACGTGTCTCGGACATGTCTCGGACGTGTCTCGGCCAGCTTGGACATGTCTCAGCTTGGACATACCGCCCGCGGCGCCGACGAGCTTCGCGGCGGTGGCGGCGCCTAGGACGTGTCTCGGACGTGTCTCGGACGTGTCCAGGAAGGGGAGCTGCGTCGCGGCGGTGGCGGCGCCGACGATGGCGACGACGTTGGGCGCGACGATTGCCTGTGGAGGTGGCGGTCGGAAGAGCAATTCACACACCTCGGTTGCACCTCGGTTGCACCTCGGCTGCACCTCGGCTGTATCTCGGCTGTCTCTCGGCTGTCTCTCGCCATCTTGGACTCGACGAAGGCGAGGATGCGCTGCTTGTTGTCGGAGAGGGCGAGGACCTGCTCGCACCTGCGGGAGATGTGGGGAGATGTGGGGAGATGTGGGGAGATGTGGAGAGGGCGAGGACTTGGCTCGCACCGCTCGCTGACCGCCGCCAGCGCCTGCGGCGGCAGCTCGGTGCCGATGGTGGTGGAGGAGGTGACGGTGACGACCATGATCGTGGCGGAGGGGAGGATGCCGGTGAGGTCGACTTGGGTCAGGTCCGCCTCGTTGCCGATCTTGAGTACGACGCGCGCGAAGTCGAGCGGGTTCGGGATCAGCGACTCGAGCTCGGGGAAGCGCTTCGCGTAGTCGTCGCGGATGTGCTTCGCGAGCGCCTCGACCTACGGCCGGTGGTGTGGCGTGGCATGCGCCCCGGCGTGGAGTGTCGCGCCCTGCCCCGGTGTGGTGCGCAGCGTGCCCCCGCCCGAGGGCTGCCAGTTGCACCTCATTGTCGATGTCGACCGCTATCTCGTTGCACTGCACAATCAGCGCGTAGACGGCGCCGGCATCGTCCTGGGGCGCGGCGGGCGGCGCGACGACGCCGTCGCCCGCGTCGGCCACCATGTATGCCTCGATCTTCTCCATCAGCGACGCCATCCGGCTCGAGGCGAGCAGCCCCGACGTGCCCGCCGCGCCGCCGCCGCCGCCCGTCTCGGCGAGCATGTCGATGTCGCCATCGTCGTCGTCCTCCTCCTCGATGATCTCCTCCTGCCGCCGCGAGACAGAGCCGGTGAGTGGGCGCGAGCGTCGCAGCGCGAAAGGCGGGCGCGGCCCGCTGGCAGCGGGGAAGCGAGCGCGGCGACACGGGCGGCAGCGACGCGGGGCAAGCAGTCATGGGCGAGGGCGCGCCTCCTCGCCCTCGTCCTCCTCCTCGTTTAGGTCGTCGAGATCTGCGAGGAAGGCGTCGAGAGAGGCCATGCGGCACGAGCGTGGCAGCGCCCCGAGCGCCGCTCACAGCCTCAGGCAGGCGGCGCAAAAGAATTTTAAACACCGCAAGAGATGGTGGAGGAGGCCGTCGCCAGAAAAGAAAAACAGCGTATACCCACGTATGGCCTCCCACCGCATCGGTGCGCGCGTCGCGGGCCTCTCGCCAGCGCAGCTGTGCGCCATCATCGAGGCGCAGGCGGGCGCGAGCGCCGCCGCGCTGCGCGTGGCGGAGGAGCACGCCGCACGGCTCGTGGAGCAGCCCGAGTGGGTCCTCTCCGAGGTCCTCCTCTCGCCGGACCTCGCCCCGCACATCCTCGCCCAGCTGCCGACCAAGGCGCACGCCGCCAAGGGGACGTGCCGCGCGTGGCGCCGCGGCTGGAAGGAGACGCTGAAGAAGCGCGAGAGGCCGCGCATGCTCGTGTTCGGCGGCCGCGGCAGCGAGGGTGGGACTGTCAACTCGTTGGAGCGGTACGACCCGTCAACCAATGAGTGGGAGGAGGAGGCTGTGGCGCCGATGCCTTCGGCACGCACGTATGTCGGCATGGCGGTGCTCGATGGCAAGCTCTACGCGGTGGGCGGCGAGAGTGAGGCTGACGGCGCAAATTCCAACCTGGTGGAGCGGTACGATTTGGCTACGAACGCGTGGGAGGAGGCGGCGCCGATGGTGACACCACGCGAGACCCACGCCGTGGCGGTGCTGGACGGCAATCTGTACGCTGTGGGCGGGTACAGCGACGACGACGGCATCCTCAGCTCGGTCGAGCGGTACGATCCGGCGACGAACGCGTGGGAGGCGGTGGCGCCGATGGCAGAGGCGCGGACTCTTGCCGCCGTGGCGGTGCTCGACGGCAAGCTGTACGCTGTGGGCGGGTACAGCGACGACGACGGCATCCTCAGCTCGGTGGAGCGGTACGACCCGGCGGCGAACGCGTGGGAGGCGGTGGCGCCGATGGCGACGGCGCGGTATTCTCACGCCGTGGCGGTGCTCGACGGCAAGCTGTACGCTGTGGGCGGATACAACGACGACGGTGGCACCCTCAGCTCGGTGGAGCGGTACGACCCTGCGATGAATGTGTGGGAGGCGGTGGCGCCGATGGCGGCGGCTCGGAGCAGGCTCGCCGTGGCGGTGCTGGACGGCAAGCTGTACGCTGTGGGCGGGCAGAACGATGAGGAGGAGGACGTGGATGGCTGCCTGGTGGAGCGCTACGACCCGGCGTTGGAGATATGGGAGGCGGTGGCGACGATGGGGACGGCGCGGTACTTTCCTCTCGCTGCTTTGATGTAGGCGGCTGTTTCGCTCTCTCGCTCGCTCTCTCTCTCTCTCTCTCTCTCTCTCTCTCCCTCCCTCCCTCCCTCCCTCCCTCCCTCCCTCCCTCCCTCCCTCCCTCCCTCCCCCCCCCGTAGACGAGCGAGTTGCGGCGCACGCGCGCACGCGCTGCGCGTAGCCGTAGGCGGCACGTGGCGGCGCGTGGGCGGGTGGCCCACCCGGCCGTCGGTGAGTGAGCACCACCGGACGCGAGGGTCGGTACGTCGGCTCCTAATCCTAGTGATCTGTGATCTATGAGGATCCGCCCGCAGGCGCATTTTGAGATATACCGAGGCGGTGCCCGGTGCCGAGCGCAGGCAGAGCCCACAGGTCGGACCTTAACGACGAGACAGCGCGTGCGTATATGAGCTCACTTAAGAGTTAAGTGTGTCGTGGTACTAAGTGCTGCGCGGGTCGAGTCGAGGTCCTCTTGTCAAAAAAAGAAAAACATCGTCGCGCGGAGAGGACGCGCCGCTCTGGAGCATACTGTATTGCACACATGCATACTGCGGGGTGGGGCCCCGACCTCTAGAGACTGTCTCCCAGCCTGTGTGCTCACCACGTGCACTGGGGGGCCTTGCACTTTGAATACGGGGGTGACGGCACAGTAGGAGCGTATGTATGTATCGAAGGTGAAAAGAACAGCCAGGCTAGGACTGGACAACGACGCGGAATGCGAGTACCCGCACACCCTTGCGAGCGAAATCCAAGCTTGCAGCGCGGGCAGAGGGGACCGCCCGCGCCGATGGCCTCCCACCGCATCGGCGCGCGCGTCGCGGGCCTCTCGCCAGCGCAGCTGTGCGCCATCATCGAGGCGCAGGCGGGCGCGAGCGACGCCGCGCTGCGCGTGGCGGAGGAGCACGCCGCTCGGCTCGTGGAGCAGCCCGAGTGGGTGCTCTCCGAGGTCCTCCTCTCGCCGGACCTCGCCCCGCACATCCTCGCCCAGCTGCCGACCAAGGAGCACGCCGCCAAGGGGACGTGCCGCGCGTGGCGCCGCGGCTGGAAGGAGACGCTGAAGAAGCGCGAGAGGCCGCGCCTGCTCGTGATCGGCGGCCGCGGCAGCGAGGGTGGGACTGTCAACTCGTTGGAGCGGTACGACCCTTCAACAGACGAGTGGGCGGAGGAGGCTGTGGCGCCTTTGCCGACGGCACGCACGATAGCAGGCATGGCGGTGCTCGATGGCAAGCTCTACGCGGCCGGCGGTTGTGAGGCCGACAACTACGCCCCTTCCAACTCGGTGGAGCGGTACGACTTTGCTGCGAACACGTGGGAGGCGGCGGCGCCGATGGCAAAGGCGCGGCATGCTCCCGCCGTCGCGGTGCTCGAGGGCAAGCTGTACGCGGTGGGAGGCTACAACAGCGACGACGGTGGCCTCGCCTCGGTGGAGCGGTACGACCCGGCTGCCAATGCGTGGGAGGCGGTGGCGCCGATGGCGACGGAGCGGAGCGACCATGGCGTGGCGGTGCTCGACGGCAAGCTGTACGCTGTTGGCGGGTACAGCAACGACGGCGTCGTCCTCACCTCGGTGGAGCGGTACGACCCGGCCTTGGATGCGTGGGAGGCGGTGGCGCCGATGGCGACGGCGCTGTACAATCACGCCTTGGCAGTGCTGGACGGCAAGTTGTATGCTGTGGGCGGCGTCAACGGCCACATCAACTCGGTGGAGCGGTACGATTTGGCTACAAACGCGTGGGAGGCGGTGGCGCCGATGGGGACGGCGCGGATGGCTCACGCCGTGGCGGTGCTCGACGGCAAGTTGTACGCTGTGGGCGGCTACGGCCTCAGCTCGGTGGAGCGGTACGACCCGGCGACGAACGCGTGGGAGGCGGTGGCGCCGATGGCGGCGGCGCGTGTGAAGGCTTTCGCTGTCTTGATGTAGTCGCCGTTGTGTGCGTGCTAGCCCCACGGCGTGGAGTGTGCTGAAGTCCCTCGCCTGGGTGTGCTGCGCGTGCGTGGCTGCGTGCCCCCGCCGCTTGGTCGCAGCCCGCTCTATGCACTATGGTGTAGCGTGTATGGAGTGAACTCGGAGCACTTGAGGCGCCGCGTTTTCTTTTTCCCGGCTTGCCCGTCCCTACCCGCTGCGCGGCCGCAGGGGTTTCTTTATTCTTTGTGAGTCTCTCTCACACTCAGTCTCACTCTCAGAGGCCGCCGCGACCGCACCGGCACTCTACCTCTACGTGTGGCGCGGCCGTGTGTCAGCCCCACACTTATCACACTTTCGAGTAAATGTGTATATCCCTCTCTATGACTCTATGTCTATCTCTCCGCAGATGAAAAGCCGGGCATGGGCCGGAACCGCGCCCCGTATGTGCCGCGCTGCCGCGCGCGCCTAGACGGCGGCGATGACTGCAGGGTCGACGCCCTTCGAGGCCAGGAATGCCTTCTTCTCGTCGCCCGGAGCCGCCGCGATGGATGGATCTTGCATGAAGGTGGCGGCCTGCACACACAGTAGGAAAGTGGTGGAGAGGCGCCGGCGGGCACGAGAGAGGGAACGTGAGAAGGGGTGAGCAGAGGCGGCTGCGTGGGTCGGAACGGTGAATCGGAGGAGGCTCTGCCTGCTCCTTGGTCATCTCACTCGTGACCGCGGCAGGCGCGGGCGGCGCTGCCAACGACGGCGCCACCTCGGACGTGGCCTCGCTTTTCCAGGAAGGGTTCCACCCCGAGGCGAAAGCCACTCGGCCGCCGCCCGCCCCCGTCGCCCCGGACTTGTACTTTGGGATTGGGCCCGACTTCCACGAGGGCGCCCACTTGCGATTGCTCCCGCCGCCGTAGACGTCCTGACAGCGGGTCAGAAGGAGCGGGTCAGATTTGGTGAGACGGTCAGAAGGAGCGGGTCAGATTTGGCGAGACGGTCAGAAGGAGCGGGTCATCAGATTGGCGAGACAGTTGTTCGCGGTCGACGAGGGCTGACGAAGAGGTGATGACGTGCCTGCATGACGACGGGGAGCGGCGTCGAGCCGTGCGTCGCCAGCGGAGGGGCGAAGCCGAGCGCACAGATCGACAGCATTATCTCGCGTTTCGTTTGGAGAGTGCCGCAGAGGTGTCCACGCAAAAAAAGAAATTTCGTGCATGGGCTCCCCCCTCAGTGCCGTCAGGGTGACCAGTGCAAGTCGTGTCTCCCTCCCACGCAGCGGCTCTCGCGATCGATGAGATTTCCCGGCACACCCGAGAGGTCCAGGCTGCCCCAACTCACGCGCTCTCAGAGGTCCTTCACATTTGAGCAGCCTCAGGCGCGTTACGTGGAATATGTGCCGCAACTGGGAGTGGCAGGCACACGCTGTTAGTTGCCGATCGCATCCGTGGTAGCGCCGCGCGCACCGCGGGTCTCACACGCAGCTCTGTTCAGATGGCCCTCGCCCAATGCAGGTGTGTGCTCTCGCCGGCCGGCTGCCTGGGCAACAGGGCACCGGCCGAAAGATATTCTTTGCCGATGCGCCGGCTCAGCTAGAGGTTGCGCCTTGGGAGTCAGCACCCTGGAGACATTCCGCTTCGACCCCAGAAACGGAGACGCGCAATACGGGCGGTGGGCGTCAAGGCTGTAGCGGCCCGGCGCAGATGAGTGCAACGAACAGGACCAAGGGCTACAATCTGCGCGAGGCCTAAGACCACGGATCTCTGCCTGCGAAAAGTAGCGTGCGGCCTCAAAACGGCTGAGGATGTGGTTAGGTGTTTCGGCTCGAGGTCTGCCTGTACCACCAAGTTTGCTCCAATGGTGCCCTGGCGGTCGTCTCGGACTCGCGACATATGGGTGTTTTCTTCGCTGCATCCTGGTGTCTATCCGTCGAATAGGCGAAGCGCTCTTCGACCTCAACGTCGGCCAGCCCTTTGTGTGCGACTTCTCGCCTCAAAGGCGCTGTGCCACCTCCACTTCTGCTCCCGACAAGAGCCACCCTTGCTAACGGGGACCGCAATGGTGTGGACGCAGGTACCGCGAGCTGCAGAGCATCCTCCTCCAGCCGCCCGTCTTCGCGCTACGAGCGGGAGAGAGCACCGCCATGGCCCGAGGCTGTGCGCAGCGATAGAGCACAGCTGAGTACTCGAGTAATTGTGTGCGCGCACCGGGAGAGATACGTTGTGTTGTCTGTGGCCTCGGGGGATTGTCGGTTGTGAGACAGCCCGGTAGACTCTCACAGCTCACAGCCTCGGACAGGGGTCAGGGCAAGACCTTCTTGCTCAACCCTTTCGGCCACTCGCCTGCGTTCATCACTGAAATCGCTCGAGTCCTGTATACCGGAGGCCGGGCTCGCCAAACTCCTCCACACGTCGGACCAGCCATGCGTCCGCGCCTCGCGCGCCACATCGCGCGCCACATCGGTCATCGCGACACCGGCGGCGCCGGCGCGCGGCGCGCTCCAGCTCCCAGTTCGGACGCGGTGGGGCCTTTCTCAGTTCTGTTCGGCACCTCCCACCGACGAACTCGTCCATTACACGAGAGTAGCCTGTGGCTGAGCAGAGCTGAGCACACACCAAGGCTCGTTGATGACCACATGCGACATAGCTCGATCGGTCACACCGCCATCGCCGTCGGGGAGAGGGGGGACGACACTGCTTCGGCAGCGTGCACCTCGATCCTGTACCGTGTTTGTTATGACCCCCCCCCAATGAACATACCAGTGAGGGAGGGCGAGACGATCGAGGGGTCCCGTACCACGCGGAATCGACCCTATCCAGTGCTCAAGTGCTCAAGTGCTCTGCCCGCAAGGCGCCCGCGTCGCAGACGCGGTACCATTGACAAATCTGCGATATACCCCCACACGAGCAAATAGCCAAAATCCGAATACCGTGCACGAATCCTGCGATGTGGGCCGTGCAAGCCTTCAGCTGGTGCCAAGACTCGTAAAATTGAAGCCACGAACGGCCGCCGAATCCGTGCTTTCGGACGGAGCAACTGAGGGAAGCCGCTGATCGAGCCCAGCGTGCCCGCGGCCGCCTCCCGCGCAACACCGCCGCTGGGGACGACACGCTGCGGATTCGGATCGAGCCCGGGGGGCGCGGCGGGCCGCTCGATGGTCGTCCGCTTCGTCTGCGACAAGTCCATCCCAAAGGCGCGTGTCCTGCGATAGATAGACTCGACGGGCTCACCGGCGCGGGGTGGACGCAGGACAGATGCTGGCGGCACACATGGCGACAGGGACACACGGACAAGACACCCCCTCGCCTCTCCCTGCAGCCTGCCGACCGCCGCCGCTCTTTTCTCCTCCGCCGCCCGCCTCGCCTACCGCCTCTCCCTCCCTGCCGCCTCCCACCCTCCCCCTCGCCTTCTGGCCTCTCCCCGCCCCGCCACCTCTCCACTCGCCACTCCCCTCCCTTCGCCATCACCGCTACCCTCACCGCAGCCTCCCTCACCGCCACCGCCCCTCACCGCAGCCTCCCTCACCGCCACCGCCCCTCACCGCAGCCTCCCTCACCGCCACCGCCCCTCACCGCAGCCTCCCTCACCGCCACCGCCCCCTCCCTACCTCCAAAGGCGGTCCTCACCGAAGCCACCGGCGGCAGCCTCAAGTACAACCTCACGGTCCGCGCCGCCGCCGCCTGCCCGGTCGGTCGCTGCACAGCCAGCGCTGGGACTCGTCACACCTTTGCCACCCTCCTTGCGGAGCAGGAGGAGATCCGCTTGCTGTACTTTGAACAGCGTGCCAAGACCTACATTGAGGAGGTGCTCGTACCGGCGCTCGGCATCAGTGTGTTTTACTACGTGATGGAGTTTGCTTGGGCCCGTCGCTTCCGGGACCAGGGAGCGGCGGGGAGGGGGCAGATTCACTTCCATCTGCTCGGCTGGCTCGAGAGCGGCGAGCCACACCATATCATCTCGGTCGGCAACTCGAGGGACTCAGTAGTTGTGACCCCCCTGGAGTGAGTGAGGACAGGAGAGAGAGAGCTTTGTGGTGTTGGTGTACGCAATAACGGGACAGGGTAGTCGTTCTCTCTAGCTCCCCTTCTAGCTCTTAGCATGAGCTGCGCCCTGTCCGACCCCTTTTGCGCAGCAACACCTTAAACTTTTCAGGCCCTCCAAATTCGGGTCGGAGCGTAGCGGAGTGGGCCCCGAGTTTGAAAAGGGCGACGGACGCTTGCGTCCTAGCCTCCAACAACGCCTCCCCGGCGCAGAGGGGCCCCCGGAGGGATGCACAACCGACCCGCGCCACGCCGCTTGCGGCGGTCCTCTTCCCAGCTCCGCTGAGGGCCCGTGCATTTTTTTGCACTTCTAGTCGAGGCTGGGCCTTCTTCCTCTTTGGTGGCATATGCGAAGCGCTGGAGCAGAGACAGCGGTCGGTCGAGTCTCAGGGAGCGCGTTTTGGGACCGACTGGCCAGTAGTATTCATGGACTTGAGTACAAGTACTCACGCATGCGCCAGACGTACTCATGAGTATGAATACTCAACTGCGGTGGTACTCATGAGTTGAGTACTCACGATGCACGTGTATTATGAGTACAATACTTGAATACTATTGTAATCATGAACAGGCTTGCGCACTGCGGCGCGGCGCACGGTGCCTCCGGGGGCCCCCGCGCCGGCCCAGAGGTTCGGCACCTCCCACCGACGAACTCGTCCATTACACGAGAGTAGCCTGTGGCTGAGCAGAGCTGAGCACACACCAAGGCTCGCTGATGACCACATGCGACATGCCACATAATTTACCTTCAGAGACCTCGACTATTCACCGCACCACCATGCGGACGAGAACAGAGGCGAAGCGGCGAGGAGGAGGAGGGCATGCCCGGCCTGCACCGCCAGCTAGCTGGCCTGCCGCCCCCACCACCCCGCCGCCGCGCAACCCCGCCATCCCGCCCCCGCTCAGCCGATGTGAAGGCAGTGGACCTGCGACACGTCCGCCAGCTCGGCGGCCTTGGAGAGGACGGCGGCCTCGACCTTGCGGTCGATGGCCATCACGTTGACGACGGCGCCCTGGGCGTCGCCGTGCGAGACCACGCACGCCTGAGGGTGGAGGGTGGAGGGTGGTGCCGGGTCGGAGTGGGGCGGTTGGGGGGTGATGGGGAGGGGTGTAGCGGTGGCGGGGCGCCTGGATGTTGATCTTGTTCTCCCCGAGCAGGCCCGAGACGCGCGAGAGCACGCCGGGCTTGTCGATCGACTTGTAGACGAGCATGTAGCCCTTTGGCTCGAACTCGAGCTTGTGGCCCTCGAACTCGACCACGCGCTGGCTCGAGCCGAACACCGTGCCTGACGGGTGGCGGGTGGGTTCGGGTGCCGTGGGGTATGGGAGGGTGCCTGACGGGCGGGCGGGCTGACATCCGGAAGGCAGACATCCGGAGGGGGGCAGACATCCCCTCGAGCCGAGTCATCTCCCATCGCTGGCGGGGGCCGACCAACGCGCCGGCGAGGGCGCGGCTCCCCTTGGAGGGATCGGCTGTGATCTCGGGCCGATCGCGGCTAGTCCGGTGCCGGCGATGACGTGGCTGCCCTTGGGCGTGGTGACCGTCAGCTTGAGCAGCGAAGAGAAGACGCCGCCCTCCACCTCCTGCGTCGTCACCTTCATCTCCCGCTCGGCCGCGAAGGCAGGCGCCGAGATCAGGTTGATCGCCGCGCCCGTCTCGTCGCGCGCGCCGGACTGGTCGAAGAGGCCGACCTGAAAACAAGAGAAACGCGGGCGCACATCAACACGCGACAGCGGTGAAGGCGCGGCCGAACTGGTGCAAGAGGCGCGCACCAGCGCCGCGGCCGCGCACAGCTCGCCCGCCTTCTCCACCTTGCCCGACACCTGCACCTGCAGCGAGGTGACCGCCGCCTTGTTGACCTGCGCGAGCAGCTTGCCGAGGGACGTTGCAAGCGCCGTCCACGGCTTCAGCTCCGGCTTCTGCGAGAGGGTCAGGTTGGGCGCGTTGACGACGCCGACGACCGGCTGCTCGGCAAAGGCGGCGACGAGCGAGTTTGCGATCTCCTCGGCGACCTTGCCCTGCGCCTCGAGCGTCGAGGCGCCTGTCCACGCCGGGAGGACGCCGCCGTGAGGAGACGCAGCTCACAGCTCGCAACCCTGCGCCTCGAGCGTGGACGCGCCGAGGTGCGGCGTCGCGACAAGCTTGGGGTGCTCAATCAGCGCCCACTCGTGCTCCGCCGGCGGCTCCGACTCGAACACGTCAACCGCGGCGCCGGCGACGTGGCCCGACTGCAGCGCGGCGAGCAGGTCCGCCTGAGGGACGTGTCGTGGACGTGTCGTGGACGTGGCCCGACTGCAGCGCGGCGAGCAGGTCCGCCTGAGGGACGCGTCGCGGACGTGTCCCGACTGCAGCGCGGCCAGGTCCTCCTTGTTGATGACGGCTGCATCTCAGCTGCATCTCAGCTGCATCTCAGCTGCATCTCAGCTGCATCTCAGCTGTGTCTCCGCCTCGTTGATGATGCCGCCGCGCGCGCAGTTGATGATGCGCACACCCGGCTTCATCGTCGCGATCGACGTCTTGTTGATCATGTCCTTTGTGTCGTCGAGCAGCGGCACGTGGACGGTGAGGAAGTCGGCGCGCGCCATGCAGTCGGCGGCGGAGACCGGCTCGATGTTGAGCTTGCGCGAGGCGTCGGGAGGGAAGAAGGGGTCGTACCCGATGACATCCATCCCGTACGACTGCATGCGAGAGATCACCTGTGCAAGGCAAGGAGGCGGCCCCTCATCATCTGGTCGCCTGTGATGATGCCGTGTGACTGCGGGAGAGAAGAGGGAGAGGACGAGGGAGGGAGAGGAGGAGAGGAGGAGGAGCAGGAAGAGGTGGAGGAGGCAGAGGCGGAGGCAGAGGTGGTGATGGAGAGGCGCAGAGGCAGACAGGAGGAGGAGAAGGAGGCGACGAAGAGAAGAGGAGAAGAGGACAGGAGAAGGAGGAGGAGGTCGCCTCGCGGCCGACGCGGCCGAGGCCGAGCACGCCGAGCGTCTTGCCGGAGAGCTCGACGCCCATGTACTTCTTCCGGTCCCACTTGCGCGCCTTCATCGACGCGTCGCCCTGCGGGGGGGGAGAAGACGGCGGTGCGGAGGGAGGAGACGGCGGGAGGAGACGGCGGGAGGCGGGGTCTGCGAGAGGTCTGCGAGAGATCTCACCGCTCCTCCCTCACGGCAGCGCATGAGTAGAGTGCGAGGCTTGGCCGGTGTGTGCGGCGGGCAGCAGCAGCCAGTGCGGCAGTCAACAGAGCCGGCAGGTGTGCGGCAGGTGTGCGGCAGGTGTGAGGAGGTGGTCGGGCCATGTCGCCACGCCAAAGGCGAAAGGGGCGCGCGCGCGGTGGAGCGCTGTGAGGTGTGTGGCAGGCACAGGCGAGTCCTTTAGCTGCTCGCCTGCGCAACGTTGCGAGCGAGCGAGGCGATGAGGGCGCACCTGAGGGGGAGGAGAGGGCACGCGGGGTCGACGGCGCGGGTGCGGCGGCGCCACCTCGCTAGTTGCGGCTCGAGGCGGAGGCGATTCGAGGGGTGAAGAGTCGAGGGGAGGGGAGTCCTTTGGCCGGGGCAGGCGCGCGCGTGTGCTCAGCGGCGGAGACGGTGTTGCCGCCGGGCGTGTTCATGACGATGATGCCCTTCTTGGTGGCGGCGACGCAGTCGATGTTGTCGACGCCCGTCCCCGCCCGCCCGATCGCCGTCATCTTGTGCGCCGACTCGATGATCTCCGCCGTGACGGTGGTGCCTGAGCGGACGATCAGGCCGTCGTACTCGCCGATGATCTTCTTGAGCTCGGCGGGCGGGACCTTGGACTTGCAATCGACCACGACGCCCGCCTTTTGCAGGATGTCCACGCACACCTGCGCGCACGGAGGCGGCGGCACACTCACCGCGGTGTGCTCCACTCGCTGCTCTGTGCCGTCGCCGGCGGTGCGGCGCCTGCTCGATCGGGTCCGAGATGAGGACCTTCTTGCCCTTGGCGCTCGCGCCGCCCTGCGTGCGGGCCCGCTTCGGGCTCGTGACGTCCATAGCTCCGTTGGAGGACGGGTTCTTCGGCATGGGGTCTGCGAGCTCAGCTGTCTCCGTGTCGCAAGCACCGATGCGGGGTGATTAGGCAAGGGCACCCCGGAGTTGCCGATAAGAAATTCTTGCCGGTTGAAGCCCTGATTTGAAACATGAAAAACGCGTGCCCTGCCGTGCGTGCCGTGCCCAGACCGGAAAGTCGAGCGAGCCCAGGCAGGCCCGGGACGCTCCTCTCCACCGTGATGCTCCTCGCCATCATCGTCACCACGACGTGTCAGCTGCGGACGGGCGTCGCCCGCGACATGCGCACGTAGCCCGACAACTTTCATACGCTCTGCAAGCCGCGGGCGGCTCCAACTGTCAATGTCGTCTCGCATTGCCGGTACGCAGGCCTGGCTGCTCTCTCTCTCCCCCGCTCCCCCCCCACTCCCCATCGAGACTGAGCCACCGGTGAGCACGGGCTGCGGCGCGACCCTTGCCGTCCCCGCGCACGCAGGTCACCATGCATCAGAGCTGCTTTGTCGTGCGCACTCGAGCAGCGCGCAACGGTCGCGCCCACCTGTCACCTCGCCTCGCCGGCTGCATCCCGCTCGCGGCGGTCGCCACCATCCCTGGGTCACCGCCACTGCCCCTGTCCCTGCCGCCGCCGCCGCCGTCCGATTCCTCCCCGCCGCCCGGCCTGATCCGCGGCGTGCAACGCCCCCCACGCACAAACATGGGCACACACCTCGGCATCGCCGACCCGCCCCCAGCCCCCTGCCGCCGCCGCCGCCGTCCCTGTCGCCCCCGCTTTCACCCACTTGCTTTACTGCCGACTCCAAGCGGGAGGCAGCAAAAGCACGCAGACAGAACCCTGAGAACGTCGCCATCGTGTAGCAGGCAGGCATGGCTAGCCGCGTGTTGGGGTGTAGTGTTTGTGTGTGTGGTGTACTCTCCTCTACTCAGTGATAGTGAGTGAGCAGCGTACGATATAAAAACAACTGAAAAACCTCGAAGCCCTGGGAGCCCTCCCCCTACTGTTCGCGTCGTGTTTTCTTTGGGCGGCATAGGCGAGCCGCCGGTGATCTGCCAAGCCCCTCCCGCCTCCGACTCGCGCTGTCTGTGCTCCTGATTCCACTTCCCCGATTCCCAAGACTCTCTTTAAAATTATATGTTCTTTGAAAGAAAAATATTAACGTGTTCCGGCGGCAAGGTCTATGCTGCTTTGGCGGGTACAGCGACAACGACGGCATCCTCGGCTCAGTGGAGCGGTAGGATCCCGCGACGAACGCGTGGCGGGGATGCGGTGACGCCGATGGCGGCGGCGCGGACACAGTTTGGGATGGCGGGGAGCTCGACGGCAAGCTGTATGTATGTCGTGGGAGGCTGTAACGACAACGACGGCACCCTAAGCTCGATGGAGCGGCACGATCCGGCGGAGAACGCGTGGGAGGATGTGGCGCCGATGGCGGCGGCTCGCGCAAAACCTCGGACGGCTGCAGCAGCGCTCGATCAGCGCTCGATGGCAGTCTGTACGCGCTGTGGTCAACGACGACCCCGCGACGAATGTGTGGGAGGCGGCTGCGCCGTTGACCACCGCACGATCGTGCTGTTATGATTCTTGGTGCAATATTAGACACTAGCTGCATGCCAGCCTGATCGTCACATATGCACAAAGACGGCTCAATCCGGACGCAACACGCTGAATTGCGCCGGGAGGATGTATGAACCGCAGTCCAGCCGGGAAGATGTAGCGTACGCTAGGCGGCGGCTGCCGCAGGTGCATTCCGATGTCGCACCTGGTAGCCGCGAAAGACTGACTGCACGCGGACTATCGCGGCCGCTGCCAAGCGCCTGTGCCGCACCCGCTGCAGCCAGCGCTGCGCCGCTAGCTGCACACGCTGGCTGCCACAGGCGTCGTGCTCCTCAGAGAGCTCGTCGTGCTCAAGGGAGAGGGGCGCCAGCTGCCCGCGCATGGGCCCGCTGACGGCGGCGAGCCCACCACTCAGTCGCTTCAGCTGGGTTTTAAAGAATTTGCTCGCACATAGCCCGATTCATCCATCAACTACACTCATCTTCTGGTGCTTAGCCCCGTGCAGCGGCGGTCCGGCAGGCTGCCCCCAAGGCCCCCTGGGCCGCTGCGGGTTTTGGAGTTATGCTTAGGCACAGCTTCGGCGATGGCAGCCCCTCTCTGGGGTGTTGCATAGGCGGGGAGTTCTCCCCCGCTGGCGTCTCGCAGCTGCTTATTCTCGTATTCTCGTATTCTCGTCGCGCAGTATGGTATTGCGTGGAGGCGGTCGTATTCTCGTATCACTAGCTCCGAGTAGAGGGGGCGGTCTGCTGCTAGGGGAAACCCGGAGCGCGGAGCCAACCCTCGGAGACCCGTGTTTACTTTAAGGCCCTTGCTCTGCGAACGCGCACCCCCCCCTAGGGGTCAGGGCTCTCCTGCCCGTAGCCCGATGCCGATCATCCGGCTCGCTGGGTGCGCTCCTCAGCTCCCCGGCCCTGGATGTGAGGTTGTGGAGGTGGTTTAAAAAATTTCTGCTCGACCGAGTTTGCGCTGATGAGCGAACCGAGCCGCCGGGTGCCCCGCAGCGGCCTCGCTGGGCCAGAACGTCGGCCCCGAGTGCTCCGCAGCAGCCTCGCTGAGCCAGAACGTCGGCTCGCGAGGTGGGGTGCTAGTCTGGGACCCATACGTGGCAGTTCCCTTGCTCCAAGCGCTTGCGCTTCGGCGGTAGTGATCTAATCACCCGAATACCACGTTCGGATCGCTCCTCATCGCAAACCCCGTCAGCAGTTCACCTACGGGTATGTTCGTAAGAGCTACATACACTGAAAAAAGCAAGGCGCCCGCCGCACCGCCGCTTTTCGAGCTCGAAGCACCCGCCGGGGCCGGCGAGACCGCCGCCTTTTCGAGCTCGCCACGTGGAGTTGGTCCGCTCGGAGCCGGGACAAACGCACTCTTGCCGCCGCCACTGTTCTTCTTCTTCTTCTTGCCCTTCTTGCTCTCCTTGGCGCGCTCCTCCACCTCCTTCTCCGCCTCCTCCTCCGCCAGCAGCGCCTCGGCATGCCGCGCCGCCTCCGCTTCCGCCTCCGCCCTCTCCGCCCTACTCGCCGCCTCCGCCGCCGCCGCCGCCGCCGCCGCATGCTCTTCGATGGCGCGCACGCACTCGGCGTGACCCTTCTCCTTGGCCATCTGCAACGCGGACTTGCCGTTCGCAATTCGCAGCGCCGTGTCTGCGTTTGCCCGCAGCAACAGCTCGACCATCCGCTCGTGGCCGTTGTCGGCGGCGGCCATCAGCGCGGTGACGCCGTTGCTGCTCTGCAGGTTGATGTCCGCGCCGTGCCGAATCAGCATCTCAACCACCCGCTCGTGGCCGTTGCCGGCGGCGAGCAGCAGCGCGGTGTCGCCGTCGCTTTCCTGCGTGTTGATCTCCGCGCCAACCCGCAGCAGCAAGTCGACCACCCGCTCGTGGCCTCCGACGGCGGAGGCCATCAGCGCGGTCCAACCTTCGCTGTTCTGCAGGTTGACCTCCGCGCCACGCCGCAGCAGCATGTCGACCACCCGCTCGACGCCTGCGCCGGCGGCGAGCATCAGCGCGGTGAAGCCGGTGTCACCGCAAGTCGCATTGACCCGCCCGCCGCTGTCAAGCCACGTCAGTAGCGCCGCCTCGTCGCCTCGCGCAGCTGCGCCCGCCACCTCTGTGGGAAGGCTGAACGGCGAGCCGGAAGAAGCCGCAGCCCTGGCTCCCGCCGCCGCCTCGCCCGAGGGATCGCCGCCCGCGCCGCCCGCCAACGCCTCGCGCCGGCCCGCAGCCACCTCCTCCTGGACGTGCTTCTTGAAGGCCTCGACGCACTCGGCGTGGCCCTGCTCCTTGGCTGTCTGCAGCGCGGACTTGCCGCTCATAGTGCGCAGGGCCGTATTTGCGCCCGCCTGCAGCAAGCGCCGAACGACGGCGGGGTGGTTGAAGAAGGCGGCGAAAATTAGCGCGGTGCCGCCATTGCTGCTCTGCACGTTGACCTCAGCGCCATGCCGAAGCAGCAGCTCAAGCACCCGCTCGCGGCCTTGGAGGGCGGCGCACATCAGCGCGGTGAAGTCGTCGCTGTCCTGCAGTTCGGTCTCCGCGCCGCCCCGCAGCAGAAGGTCGACCACCCGCTCATGGCCGTTGCGGGCGGCGATATGCAGCAGCGTGAACTTGCCAGCTGCGTTGGCCGCGTTCACGTGGGCCGCGTCGTCGCTGCTGAGCCAATCCCGCAGCACGCCCACTTTGCCGGTCGCCGCCGCCTTCACGACGTTCGCCGGCGCCTTCACGATGTTCGTCACCGACATGGTGGGAGCCCCCTCCCGCATGCAGGACTCAAGAGGGTGCGTGTGCGCCCCGGACCGCGCCAGGCGAGTGATATCCCTGTGCGGCTGCCGTCCCTCGCATGTTTCGCGCGACATATTTCTTTCTCCTTCTCACGTAGCCCCTTTCTTCTCTTCTTTTCTTTTTGGTGGGCTTGTGTCTCCTCGGCGCCCGATGGCCTCCCACCGCATCGGCGCGCGCGTCGCGGGTGGGAGGCTACAACAACGACGACAGCTTCCTCAGCTCAGTCGAGCGGTACGACCCGGCTGCCAATTCGTGGGAGGCGGTGGCGCCGATGGCGACGGAGCGGAGCGAACATGGCGTGGCGGTGCTCGACGGCAAGCTGTACGCGGTGGGAGGATACAACGACGACGACGGCATCCTCAGCTCGGTGGAGCGGTACGACCCGGCTGCCAATGCGTGGGAGGAGGTGGCGCCGATGGCGGAGGCGCGGGAGGCTCACGCCATGGCGGTGCTCGAAGGCAAGCTGTACGCTGTGGGCGGACAGGATGCCGGCTACAACGCCCTCAGCTCGGTGGAGCGGTACGACCCGGCTGCGAACGCGTGGGAGGCGGTGGCGCCGATGGCGAGCGTGCGGGCTACTGTTGGTGTGGTGGTGCTCGACGGCAAGCTGTACGCTGCGGGCGGCATGAACGGCGACGACGGCCACCTCAGCTCGGTGGAGCGGTACGACCCGACAACCAACGCGTGGCAGGCGGTGGCGCCGATGGCGACGGCGCGGGCCTCTGCTGTCGCGCTCCTGATGTAGAGGGAGGGGGGGGGGCATAGAAGGGGGGGCATGCAACGCGTTCGGTGTCGCTCCCGAACGCCAACCTCTTTGTCCCTTTGGTATCCGTCATTTTGTTGTACGACCGTACGTGCTTTTATTTAGCTTATTACTGTGGGTGAAACGGGAGGGGGGGGGTGTTCTCTAGGCTCTCTCTTGTTGAAAATTCTGTTAATTAAAATGAACTCGGGGGCACAGGACGCGGCACAAACGGGGCACAAACGCTAAATTCTGTCAATATTCACCTCACTTTTGGATGTGGGCACTGGCGGGGTCCGTGCCACACAATTGAGGCCGATGCCAAGACGCTTCTTCAGACAGTTGGATCCGCCAGCTGAGCCCGCACAAGAGCTAGCTCCCATCGATTCCGCAGCTGTGGCGCATGCCTTTGTCACAGCCTCGGCAGCGCTACCTCCCACACCGACCACCGCAGACGCTTGCGTCAATGCGGAAGTCCCGTGGACTCCCCAAAAGACGATTGATTCGAGCCAGACAATCACCACGACAGTGCGATCGCACCTGGTATCATTTATTGCTATCGCTCTGGCCGTTGTCAGCGCGGTGTGCTTGGCAACCCTTGCCTTACCCCTCATGCAACAGCCTCTCGACGAGATGCGTTTGTCAGCGCGAGACATGGCAGAGCAGCTCAACGACCAGTGGAATTCGGGAGACACGCCCGTGGGCGGTTTGCTGGTCCATGTGATGGATGGCCCAGGCATCGTCGGCAGTGGATTTGTGGGGTATCCTCCCGGCCAGATCCCAAGCGCCATGGAGCTGTGGGCCGGTGTGGGGCAGCCGAGCCATCCGACGACACTCGCAGTGGACCCATCTCCATCAGCAGCCCTTGAAGGCCTGAGCAGCCTGGACCCCCATTGGTCCAGAGAATAAGCGGATCAGAGCTAGGGTCGCCCTCGCTCTGGACGTAGACATAGAAAAGCCGACGCGACTCGTTCGGGCCGACGGGAATGTAGCCAGAGTGCATCTCGCCGGGGAGCGTGGTGAGCAGTCCCGGCAGCGAGGTGATCCGTCCTACCGCCGGATATTCGTCAAAGTCGTCATTCCTCGTTGCCCACAACCAGTCCATCAACCAGGCCTTGCTTGGTGGAACAGAGAGCAGAGCAGCACTGTTCGGTCCCATTGACCTAGCGCTGCTGGCGCAGAGCAGCAGGGCGAGAAGTGACGCTGAGCCGGTGAGGAGAGCAGCCGTCGCACATGAGGAGCCTTTCGCGCGAGCGGCCTTCTTCACGATCATAGATGGTGCTGGTCCTCTCGCCTCGTGCGCACACGCTTGTTGGTTGAGAGGTTGAGAGGGACGCGCGCAAGCGTTTACCCCCTACTTACTTGTCCGTTGCCACCGCCAACACCGCCGCGGCCGCCGCACAGCGCCACATCCTCGAGAACCCACCACCGCCGCCGCATCGCGAACGTCGCCGCCCACAGTCTAGAGCACACTGACCGCCGCCACTGCCTCGTGTACAGCCCTGCGATGTGCATTGCGGATGACGAGGCGGCCGAGCGTAACTTCAATGCCTTCTGTTTCTGGAGGCAACCACTCCTGGAGCTCAAGGAGACGGAGGAGGCGACTCCTCGGTTGTCTCAACGACCACACCACCAGCAGCTGGGCCCGGGAGAGGCGTCGATGCAGGGATCGCGCTCTCAGCGGCTGCCGCCTGCGACTGAGGAAACGGTGCGCGAATGCCTGAGAGGCCATCCGGAAGAGAGCGCTGCAGCACCGCTTGGAGGGGAGCGGGCAGCGGCCGAGCAGCCACCGCGAGTGAGGCCGCCCTTGGAAGTCGAGGTTCCGCTTGACGAGCAGACGGCGGGCCTGCTCGCTGGCGGTGCGGGCGAGAGGCTCCTCGGCTTGCTGGGCCGCCTCTCCAGCCATCTGGGGCACAATTCACGCTTCTCGCGCGCGGCGGAGGCGCTCCAGTCGGACGTGCAAGCGCTACGAACAGAGTCGGCCGGACCAGAGCGGCAAGGCTTGGAGAATAGTGCTAGAGAGGTGCAGCGGGGTGGCGTGGAGGTGCTGGGGTTCTCCGATGCCGCGTCGCCAAGCGGTGGCGCAGCAGGTTCGACGCTGCGGCCGCAGGTGATGGCCTCTGTGGAATCGATGCTTCGCCTCCTGGAGACTTCACCAGGCGGTCCGACACCGGCTGCGCTGGAGGCGCAGTTTGCACCCGCGGTGCAGCAGTGTTTGCCGACGCCTGCGTCGCCGGCGGCCGTGCAGCGGCTGCTTGCGTCGCAGGTGCGTTGGGAGGAGACGCCTCGGGAGACGGCCCGACGAGGTCACTGCCCGATCTGCCTCGAGGCACTGTCCGATGCGGTGCTGCAAATGCCGTGCTCGCACCTTTTTCACCTCGAGTGCCTGACGCAGTGGCTGGGCACGCGCAACTCGTGCCCGGTGTGCCGCCACCTGCTGCCGACGGAGGACGAGCCGATGGCATGAGTGGGGCGGGTTCGGCGTGTGTGTCCTGCTGGCTCAGAACAAAAGCATCGTTTTGATGGTTCTTTTGTTGGAACTCGCTTTAGTTAGTTCCAGAGCGGTTAAGGTGAAACACAGTGAGAGGAAAGGCGCTCACATTCTTTTTCCCAAAGAAAAAGAAAACGAGAACGCGCAGAAAAAAGAAATTTTTGCGCCGGACGTGGAGTCAGACACCACACATCTCCGTCGATCGCAGTCTCTGTCGATCTCTGCCAGCCTCAATGCGCGATCGTTGCATCGTCCTCGCTCTGTCTACGCTCTGCGCCGCCGCGGTGTTCGATTTCGAGGCCGACGGAGGCGCTGAGGCCGGCGACGACACTTGGGACACTGTCATCTCCAACGGTGCGAAGCTCAACAGCTCCCTGTCAAAGCTGCGCCCGGGCGACACCTTTGTCGTGCCCACTAAGACGTTTCACCTCATGGGCGGCATTCACGCTCGCAACCTGCACGGCGTCACCATCTCCATCGACGGCACGCTCATATTTGCCTCATCGGCGCTGAATTCCGGCCGCTATATGAAGGCGTGGCCACGCGGCGGTGACGGCGGTGTGTTGGATTGCCTGACCTTCTCAAATCTCTCCCGCGTGAACTTCACGAGCGCAAGCCGCGGAGAGCTCGACGGCGGCGGTGCAAAGTGGTGGGGCCTTCCTGGCACCATCTCCAGATGCTGAGAAACAACTGCGTATTTAGACGCTTCCCAGCACTCGAGACGACATGCACCACCCGTATTCACGTCCTGACTCTGCCTATTATGGCGTAGGCATTGGCTACCTGCGCAGGTTTACTACCAGAATCCGCGGCAGCTGTGAAGAGACGCCGTTCACACGCGCGGAGCTGCTGTGAGTAGGCAGGAGGATAGGCCGCGGCTGCTCACCGTGCTGGAGTCGGACCACGTTCTGGTGGAGCGGCTGCACTTCCGCCAGTCGCCCTACTGGACCTTCCTCGCTAGCGGCGTGACGAACCTCGAGGTGCGGTACTCGCGCGTCGACAACCGACGGACGCACGCCGACCGCCACGATCTGCTCGACCTGACCGCCTTCAACACTGACGGGTTCGATCTCGCGGACTGCGACACCGTCTGGATCCATCACTGCGAGGCGGCCACATGGATGCGCCCTGAGAGAACGGTGGCGCGGAGGCGCTGCTTTGACACCTGCGTGGCTTGGGCAGGTGTGGAACCAGGACGACTGCTTCGACGTCAAGGACGGCACCAACAACGTCCTCATCGAGCACGTCAACGCAAGCGGCATGCGCCTCGCCGTCGCACCAATGTGCAGCTGCCACTGACTCTATCAACTTCACAGCCGCATGTGGTCATCAGGCTTTGGCCTCACCATTGGCTCCATCGCCTCCGACGTGCGCTCTTCCCGGCGACCATTCGCGGACTCTTCCATGCACCATCCCGACGGTTCAGGTCGTGTCTGAGCAGGTCCGCAATATCACCTTTCGGCACGCGCGCATGGTTCGCACGGTCAAGGGCATCTACATGAAGTTCCGCGGCGCCGGCTCGGTCCGCGACGTCCTCTACGAGGACCGCAGTCGAGGCGGCCGCCTGCTCTCGCAGCATGGGCGTGAGTCGCACTGGGCGGCTGAGTGCGAATAGGACGATGACGACCGAGGCGCGGCCGCTTGTCCTCACTGTGGGGGTCCCTCACCGCGACCTCCGCTCGTGAGTAGGACATCGTGATTGAGGAGCCGCAGCAGTTCGCCATCTGGATCGGGCCGGCGCAGAAACCGGCCCCGGGACGGAGGGGCCGCGTCCGCGACACGTCCATGACACGTCCGTGGCACGTCCCGCAGGCGCAGCAGTGCGACGGATGCAGCTTGACAGACCTCTGCTCGACGGACGGCGGCCCTTGCTCCATCTGCTGGCCGACTGTGCCGGGCACGCGCGCACTGCCACCGCTCACCCACGCTCAGGGCCTTGCACGTTGCATGCCGTGGGGCTCTATCTTGTTCGGATGTGGAGGTGCGAGGGTCGCCCGGCCCGCGCCCCACCACCTCGCCGGACACCAACTAGGCACGCACTGCCACGCGCCGGCGGGCGGGCAGTACTCCAACATCACGCTGCGCGACATCACCGTCCTCCGCCCGAAGCAGAGCGCCGGGGTGCTGCGGGCGCTCTGCAGTCCGTGAGCTGTGAACGGCGTCTCTTCACAGGTTTGGGTGTGAGCAGGTGCTGCTGGCGGATGAGGCGGCGGCGATGCGGGGCGTGCGCTTCGACAACGTCGTCGTCCACGAGCCGGCGGCGAGGCCGTTTGGGGACGAGCAGTACTACTGCAGGAATGTGCACGGCGTGGCGACCGGTGCGACCAGCCCGGTGCCTCCGTGCTTCGAGGACCGCACCGGTGCCGTGTCAGCACGGGCCGAGCGTTTTTAATCTCTCGGTCAGTGGGGGGCCGAGCCGCCTCGGTGTGGCGGGCGGGCGGGCGTTTTGAAAAACAGAAAACAGAAAACAAGAGGTGGTCGCTGTGGGAATCTCACGCGCTTCCACAGCGTGTGTGTGGCCTCGGACACGCAGCGGGCACACACACGATCGATGACGCTGCGTGAGATGGCCAAGACCGCGCTGGCCGGCGGCGACCGCTCTTGCTCAAGGTTGATCCCGAAGGAGCCGAGGTGGGGGCTCTCGAGGCGGCATCTGACGACGGCACAGTCACTTGCTTCCGTCTCGTCCATTGCTGTCGAGATACATCGCATCGGCTCGGACCGCTTGGGCTGTGAGTGAGTATTCTTGATACGAAACCACGACGACACACACCAGTCGACTCGCATCGGTTGCCTCCATGAACGGCGGAGCTATTCTCGCGCCGACACCACACCTGGCTCCAACGTGGACACGCCCATAGCTGGGGACACTACTAGGTCACGCATGGCATCACAGAAGTTTTATCTCTGGGCCCCGAAAGGCATCTCTAGCAGTGTCGTTACACATGCCCCCTCCCCTCCTGGGCGCATGCGCCTCACGTCTTGCCAGAGCATAAGCCCTTGGCGTGTGGCGAGACGAGTTTTTCGCCATGCAGCGAGCAGCAAGCCGCCCGCCGCAAACAGCCGGAGGCCTCGCCGCGGCACTGGCTGCGCCGCGGTCCCGCACCCGTCGACGCAGCTCCCCCCGCGGAAGACCGCGCGTAGCGACGTCTTGACGATCGAGATGAGCGTGCCTGAAGCTCGCCCACCTACTGCCCCTGAGAGTTGGTTATTGAGTGGGATCAGCTCCCCCCCTTGGGATCGAAGCCGCCACAACCTCACACCCAACATCCCAGGCGGGATCAGAAGGGGGCTCCACACCGGACACCGCCCGGGCACAGCCCCCCTACCCGTCGGATCGCACAGAGGGCCCCCTCGGAGCAGCCCACACACAATCACGCATCGGCAGATTGAGTGCCTGAGTCAGGCAGACAGCACAGACAAGAGGAGAGAGAGGAGAGAGAGAGAGAGAGAGAGAGAGAGAGAGAGAGAGAGAGGAGAGAGGAGAGTGTGAGGGTGTGAACACACGTGAGGAGTGGGGGAGGGTGTCTGTGGTGGGCTGTAGTCCTACTACGTGGTTACAACCACGCGCCCCTCAGGAGCTTAAGGTAGAGCTGAGCGTCCCAGACGCCTCGGTGCCACCCACCGGGTGAGACCATCCGGATCAATCGAGCCCGCCTCCGGCGGGCCGTCCCCGCGATGGCCCACAGTCCTCCGTCGCCTGGTTGAACCCCCTGCCTCCCGGTTGAACCCCCAGTCCTCGTACTCGACCATTAAATAAACTCAAAGGTCCACCACAGCCTCCAGCCTCCACCTCCACCCGCGAGCCGCCACCGCTGCCGCCCGCGACGCCGCCCGCCGCGTCAGATAGCCGCGACGCGCGCACCGAGTCGAGTCGGAGAGCCGCGCCGCACCAGCAGGAGCATCTGCACCACCAGCAGCAGCAGCAGCACCACCACCACCACCCGAGATAGAAGCGCACCTGCCCGACGCCGCCCGCCGCGTCAGACGCTCGCGACGCGCGCGTCGAGCCCAGTCGCAGAGCCGCGCCGCGCCAGCAGCAGCATCTGCACCAGCAGCAGCAGCACCACCACCACCAGCAGCAACAGAGACAGGCAGTGCAGGCGCAGAAGCGCTCGCAGAGCGGCGCGCAGCGCCGCGCACGCCACGCTGCGGACCGTCGGACGAGCGCACCGTACGTCGGCGGCGAGCCGCGTCGCCAGCCGTCTCGCGAGAGAGCGGCGCCGCCGCGTGCGCGCAGCAGCCGCCGCGGCAGAGCCGAGCCGCGGCGACGTCCGCACTAACGGATAACGGCGCCCGGGGGGCACACACACACACACACACACACACGCCGCTTGGGCTGCCACTATGCCGAGGCGGAGGACCCGCTCGGGCCTGTGGTGCAGCAGGCGCACCCCCGCATCGCATCCATGCTGCGCAAGCTGCTGCGAGACTTCCGCGTGGTGCACGTGCACGGCAACAATTTTAACGCAGCGAGCGCATTTGGCCCATTTCGCGTGCCCGCTGTGGTCGAAGTAACGTTGGTGCGGAAGGATCTCAGCCGCCGCGTGCCTTGCGCCAATCCGATGCGAATACGAGCGCTTGACGAGCCCAATGCAAAGTATGCGGACTATGTGGACTTCCGACTGCCTGGCGTGGGGGCCTATCAGTAATCCATGCGTGTGCCGACGCACCCGGCCGGTGTGCCCACGCACGGGTAGGGGAGTAATAAACATTGGGATTTGGATGACTTCTGCTGCACGCCGATACAGAATTTTTCTGAACGTGAGCGAGACGTAGGACGGGTCGTCCCGGAGCATCGGAGTAGCCGTCGTGTGGTCGCGGCGAGCAGCGCCGGCCACTCCGGCGCCGCGTCGGCACCATGGGAGCATGTGTCCACCGCCACTTCGCGGTCGCAGCGCTGTTTTGTCGCCAAACGCCGCCATGTACCTTTTCGGGCAAACCATCGAGCTGCATATCGATTTCGACTTGACGGGCGCATGGAGGCATCACGTCTCCATGCGCCCGTCAAGTCGGAGCCAGTCTCGAGTCTGCGCGGCGACCACACAGCGCTCACCCTCGCAGGTGGATATGCGAGCTTTATTCAGAGTCAAGCGATTGCGCGAAATCCCACACGGGTGGATTTTGGCATTTGGGGCGCTGTCTACATCTCTGTCTACCCCCTGACATGCAGTATGCGAGAGCGATTGTGCTGTGCGTGTGTGTCTGTCTGCGTGTGCGGCGCATCCGAGAGATCGTGGTTCGTGCAAGAAAACACGCACACAATCAAAGAAGGTATAAGCATCTCTGGGCACCCTGCCACGCGCATGCCTCCCGCTCAGCGTCGGTCGGCGTCCCTCCGGTCCGAGTAGTAATCGCGGGGGCGGTCGTAGTACTCTCGCCTGCAGGCGCAATCATCTCACGGTCTCAGCAGCCGCTGCATCCCGCCTCTCCGCCGCACCGCCGCCCTCTGTGCGCCTGTCGGCCTCTCGGCCAGACGCCCAACGGCGCCCCCCGTCTCCATCTCCACCCCCCGTCTCCATCTCCAACTCCCATCTCCCATCTCTCATCTCCCGTCTCTCATCTCTCGCACCGGTCGTATGGCCGCCGGCCGTGGTAGTCTCGCGGCGGACGACCCTCATACGACCGCTCGCCGTATCGCTCGCCGCATCCCTCCCTGTCGCGGTAGTCGCGGCCGCGGTAGTGGTAGTCGCCTCCGCCCCGCCCGCTGCGGCCTCGCCCCCTGGGTGTCAAGAGAGGCGCCGCTCGCTGCGCGGGCGCTGTTCTGCGCTGTTCCGCGCCGCTGTTCGGCCCATCCCGAAGCGTCTTTGCGGCGCATCTCGCGGCGCATCTCGCAGCGCATCTCGCGGCGCATCTCGCAGCGCATCTCGCGGCGCATCTCGCAGCGCATCTCGCGGCGTGGTATCTTGGCGCATCTCGCCTGTCCGAGTAGGCGACGCGGTAGGAGTGCCGCTCGTCGCGCCTGTTCACGGCACGAGTGTGAACAGCGCCTGCAAGGCGGGAGGGCGGTAAAGCTGCATCCTCCCGCCCCGCCTCCCGCGCGAGAGGGAGCGAAGCCTCCTCTCGTCGCGCCGCTCCTCGCGCCTCGCCCAGGAGCGAGAGCGAGAGCGAGAGCGAGGGGGAGAGCGGGAGCGAGGGGGAGAGCGGGAGCGGGGGGGAGAGCGGGAGCGGGGGGGGGAGCGGGAGCGGGAGAGAGAGCGAGAGTAGCGGCGGCGAGAGCGAGAGCGAGAATGGCGGTCGGCGGTGCGCCCATCCTCGCCGCCCTCGCCTCCTCCACCCCCCTCACCACCCCTCTCGCCACCCCTCTCGCCACCCCTCTCGCCACCCCTCTCGCCACCCCCCTGGCCGCCGCCGCCGCCCTCGCCGCCGCCGCCGCCGCCGCCGCCGCCTGGTGTGTCGCCCTGCAGCAGCTGCTGCGCCGCGGAGCCGTGCATCGCACTTCCGAGCCTAACCTCGGGTGATCTCGGGTGATCTCGGGTGATCTCGCGGCGGACCCGCGCGTCGCACGCCCGCGCCGGGCGAGGCTCTCGAGGTAGCCGCCCATCGCCGGTGCGGGCATCGTGCTCGGCGCCTGATGGGGATTCATTGACTAGCCTCTGCTTAGAGGACCCACATCGCCGGGTGTGGGCAGCGTGGGCCTGCACCTTGCCCTGCCGTATCCGGTCGGCGACCACATCCGGGTGGGCTGGCGGCAGGTGGCGGTAGCGGCACGTCTCGCCTGATCACTTCTTGGCGCACGCGTCAGACTTGAGATTGCTCATGAGGCGGGGGGTGCTCCCGGCACACGTCTCGCCGCGCTGCAGCCGCGCGCACGCGCCGCGATTGATGAAGTCAAAGCAGAGCTGGTGGCCTGGCGGTCGACCCACTCTTCCAGTGAAGGAACTAGTGAACGAAAGCCGCGGCCTGGTGGAGTCAAAGCAGAGCTGGTCGCCTGCTCAAGACCGCTGTCTCTCGTCTCCTCGAGTCTGCGGGTGCGGACTGAAGCCGAAGCACAAGGTGGGTAGGCCTGGCCCGGGGTCAGCGAGGGTCGTGGCCGCCGCTGTCGCCGCCTCGGCGGCTGCAGTTGCGGCGAGGAGAGGGGCGGAGGACGCCGTCAGCGCCGCCTGTGGGAGAGGGTTCCGAGAAGGTTCGCGGAGCGGGCTCGGTCAGCCGTCAGCCACGTGGGAGGGGAGAGAGGCGGGAGGGAGCGGGAGGCAGTGCCGCCTGGATCTGCGCCGAGCCTCCTCCTCCTCCTCCTCCTCCTCCTCCTCCCCCCGCCTGCGCCTGGGCGAGCAGTTGCGCCGCGGCAGCCGGGTTGAGCTTGCCTTGCCTGTGGAGCTCACGGCGAGATTCGGCCGAGATGAAGAGATGCAGCCTGGTGGAGCTCGCCCTGCCGGATCCGGTCGGCGAGCACGTCGGGTAATCTCGGGTAATCTCGGGTAATCTCGCCGGATCCGGTCGGCGATGACGTCGGGGTGGGTGCGGCTCAGGTGGCGATACCTAATTGGTCAGTCCATTGGATTAGTTAGACTCATCGAATCTGAGTGAACCTTGCCTCGGCTGCTCTCGGCTGCTCTCGGCTGCTCTCTGCTACGCTCGGCTACGCTCGGCTACGCTCGGCTACGCTCGGCTACGCTCGGCTACGCTCGGCTACTCTCGGCTACGCTCGGCACTTGCAGGCACCGCCGGTGCGGAGGCGCGTGCAGGAGCCGTTGTTGATGTAGTCGAAGCAGAGGCTCGCGCCGGCGCCCGGGTCGAGAAGCAGCTCCTGTGAAGGATATGGTTGGTGTGACGAGGAGAAATAAGGATCGGCCCGGCTCCAGCAGCAGCTCCTATCCAATTCGAAGCGTCTTGAAGGGACGACAGAGAATGCTTCGGCCCGGCTCCAGCAGCAACTCCTATCCAATTCGAAGCGTAGTGGAGGTAATGAGTCGGGCCCACGGAGTCCTCGGCCCGGCTCGAGCTGCTATCTCCTCCGCCCCGGGCGGCGACGCGAGCCTGTTCACAGCGGGACCGCCGTGAAGAGACGCCGTTCACGGCTCCGTGCCGGCTGTCCCGGCGCAAAGCCGCGTGTGCGTGATCTGGACGCTCGTGGCAGCAGCAGCAGCAGCGGCGGCGGCGGCGGCGGCAGCGCCTCCGCCGCCGCCGCTCAGAGTAGCTGTGAAGGACGCGGCGGCGGCGGTGGCGAGGGCAAGCACGCTCTGCTCGCCGCCTGTGCCGAGCGAAGAACAGTTTAGTTGAACTCGTTCTTGACACGAGCACGCTCAGCTGCTCGCCGCCTATGGATCTTGTCATCATCATTGTTGTTGTCTGTTGTTGATGAGAACACGCTCCGCTGCCCGCCTCCGCCCGGCGCGGCGAGCGCGGAGGCGGGGAGCTTCCCTTGCCGCACCCGGTCCGCAATCACGTCCGGGTGGGAGGCGTCGAGGTGGCGGTACCGGCAGATCTCGCCTAGCCGAGACGGAGGGAAGGTTCCGAGAAGGTTCCAGGAAGGCTATCGGAGGCGACGTGGGCGGATCAAGCGGATGACTCGCACTCCTCTGCGAGTGAGGCTGCAGCCGGCCAGTGGGCACCCATGGGACTGTGAGTGCCCTGCGGAAGAGTGCGCAAGGGCGTGGGTCTCGCCTCGCTGCAGGCGGCCGCAGACGCCGGTGTTGATGTACTCGAAGCAGATTGGGTCCGACGACGTGGCGGCGTACGGCATGGGCCCTCCGCCGCTGCTCTTGATGACCGTGATGCCCGCGTCACCGGACGAGCGCGTGGCCGCCGCCGCCGCCGCCGCCGCCGCCTGAGGAGGGCAGAGAGAGGACAGCGCTGGGCGGCGCTTTGCGAGACACCGTCGAGAGGACGGGCGCGGTGGAGGCGGTGGAGTAAGAGGAGGGCGGCGGGCAGTGGCACGCAGCGGGAGCGGGCCTTTGCGATGGCGGACGGCGGCATCCACAGCTCCACTTCGGTGTCGAAAATGTAGTGCTCGGGTATGCCGGGCGGGCGCGGCGGCTGGCCCGAGGCGGCAGCCTGGTCGAACGTGCCATCCTGCACGCCGGCCGACTTGAAGTTGAGCATGGAGAAGAGACAGGGTGGGTAGATGAGCAGGAGGAGCGCGGCACGCCCGAGGCAGGGAGCGAGAGCGTGCGGAGCAGGCGCGCCAGCTGGCGTACGCTCGGAAAAAGAAAGTTGAGGCGGGCAGTTAGTAATTCTTTTGCATAGGAACAACGCGGCATGTTCACAACACACACTGGACAGCTAGAGTGTGGTGCCATCATTTAGTAGTAAGCAACTCCATCTCCACGTCCATGATAGTGCGTGTGTGTGTGAGGCCTGTTGTGATGATGATTGTCCCTGAGGATCTCGACGCATTCCGCTTAGAGCGGCCGCACACTGCTCAGTGCTCGCGGCATCCCCCCCAGCTCATCCCCCCCCCCCCCCCCCAGGAGCGCTCTGCGCGAGAGAGAGAGAGAGAGAATTCTTGATACGAAACCACGACGACACACACCAGTCGACTCGCATCGGTTGCCTCCATGAACGGCGGAGCTATTCTCGCGTCCACACCACACCTGGCTCCAACGTGGACACGCCCATAGCTGGGGACACTACTAGGTCACGCATGGCATCAGAAGTTTTATCTCTGGGCCCCGAAAGGCATCTCTAGCAGCGTCGTTACGCATGCGCCCTCCCCTCCTGGGCGCATACGCCTCACGTCTCGACAGAGCATAAGCCCTTGGCGTGTGACGAGACGAGTTCTTCGCCATCGCAGCGAGCAGCAAGCCACTCTCCGCAGCAGCCGGAGGCATCGCCGCAGCACTGTCTGCGCCGCGGTCCCGCACCCGTCGACGAAGCTCCCCCCGCGGAAGACCGCGCGTAGCGACGCCTTGACGATCGAGATGAGCGCGCTTGAAGCTCGCCCACCTACTGCCCCTGAGAGTTGGTTACCGAGTGGGATCAGCTCCCCCCCTTGGGATCGAAGCCGCCACACCTCGCACCCAACATCCCAGGCAGGATCAGAGAGAGACTCCGCACCGGACACCGCCCGGGCACAGACCCCCTACCCGTCGGACTACGCCTGGACCCCTCACAGAGCGGCCCACGCACAGGTCACGCATCGGCAGATTTGACACCTGGTTCAGGCGTAGACAGCACACACTGGTCACAGTTGCATAGCCCTGCCGGGGGGGACGAGTTCGCAAGGTTAATATTAAAGAATACAAAGTGGTGACAACCACTGAGTTCTCAGTGGACGACGAGCGTCGACTGAACAGAAGAGCGTCCCCACGACGCCTCGGTGCCACCCACCGGGTGAAGACCATCCGGATCTTTCCACCGCGCCCTCCGGGCTGAGCGGTCCCCGCGATGGCTCACAGTCCGCCGTCACCTGGTTGAACCCCCTCCCCCCCCAGTCCTCGTACTCGTCCATGTCTCTCTCTCTCTCTCTCTCTCTCGCTCTGCGCCTGAATCAGTTACTATGCACTGTGGGGGGTTCCGGGAATATACAACTCGCTTACATGTTACGAGAAAAAGCACAAAAGAAAAACGGCGGGTGTGCGGGATGTCTGTGGGCCCGAGAGCGATATGCCATGTCGCGGCCTTGCTTTGTTTCATTTAACATCGAAGGCTGGCTCAAAGAAAAAGGTTCTGCACGTGTGCATATGTTGTTACTGAGACAGTATCACCCACGGGCCACCGACGCGCACATATCACAATTGAAAAGCCGCGCACATCAATCATCCGCACCGCTCACATTCACCACACACCCAGCCTCGCGCACGCACAATTTGGTGTACACACAGCACACACAGCACACACAGCACACACAGCACACACAGCACACACAGCAAGAGCGTACAGCTGCCGCCGCCCGCTCAGGCGACGAGGGGGTCGGAGGCCGGGCCCCGCTTGCCTTGCAGCCAGCTGTTCTCGCGGGCAAACCAGCTGCGGTAGCTGTCCTCCCCGGTGCCCTCCTTCGTCTCTGCGCGCGCCTCGAGGTCGGCAAAGGCGGTGGAAGACGCGGGAACCGGCTTCTCGTGCGCGAGGGCCAGCGAGAGAGCCTCGAGGTCCTCGGCGGAGCACTCTGCGAGGGCCTTTGAGGCTTTCTCGACGCCGCCGCACGCCTACATGACACGGGTAGCTTGTATGATGTGCACGAGGCCCGCCACGCCCAGTGGCGAATGGCGAGACGAATAGGAGTGTATTGTGCTACGGAATGCACACGCGCCGAATCGGGCCTCAATTCGACACGGCCATCCATCTTGCGAGGCGACGGCGGGATCGACGACGCCGGGGAGAGGCTGATCACGACGCGATTGCCGGCGGCGGGCAGAAGGTCGAGCCTCTGCCGCTCGTTATTCGACATGCGGCGGTCGACGGTCCTGCGCCGGGGTGCAAAACGCGCTTAGTGGATACACAGGCGGAAGCGCCACTACGAACAGGCGGCGAAATGCAGCGCCGAAGCTTGGCCCGTGGCCGGGCGGCGGCATCCGCCGACCGATGGCCGAGGCTCGCAGAATAAGCGACGCTGCGGACACACGTGGCGCTGTGGCAGCGTGTGAGGGCGAGCGGCAGAGAGAGCTGAGCGAGCCTTCAGAGCACTCAAGCGAAGCCTCGAAGCGTGTCATACCCCCACCCCTGCTGTGAATAGGTCACGGCGGACTCTTTTGTGAGCTTTCTCCCCCCCCCCCCCCCCCCTAGTCCCTTACCTACCGCCTTCTCCTTTTTACTTTTTCCCAGTGAGTGTTCTGCAGAGGTTGTGGGAGTGCGCCTTCTTTCTTCTGAAGTGAATGAATGAACGAAATCCAAACACCAAGAAAGAAGAAAGAAAAAAACACGACAACCAACACACATATCACACAAGCGACCGCTCTCTGCTACGCACCACAACACAACACAACAATGCACCACATGATATCCCCCTCTTCTCCCTCTCCACATCTGTCTCCGGCTCTGCTCACAGCCCCGGCGTGAAGTCGCTCACCCCTGCGCTTGGCTGGGAGAGTGAGCAGTGAGGACATGTCTCACTCGGAAGAGGACCTCAGTTGCGCCCATGAATGTCGCGTTCCTGGCAGGGAGAGTGTGTAGCAGTGGTGAGGACCTCTCTCTCACTCGGAGTCAGTGAGGACCTCTTCGTGAGGACCTCACTGTGAGGACCTCTCGGTTCTGAACCTCCCAAGCTCAGGCATGCTGCAGCCTACACGTCCGGGCCGCGCACACTGACAGCCACACACAGGCACCTCGTGCAACCGTGCGGGGCGGGGCTCAGAGGGCGGGGCGGGGAAAAAGGCGGAGCCGCAGGGCGCTGGCGCTGCCGTCAGACATGTGCGATATATTTGTCTCGGCAGAGTATGGTGGATCTAATTAGGAACAGGAAGTGCATGGCTGCATTGGCCTCGTTTGCGACATCCTGTTACGCGTGTGTGTGAGTGTGAGTGTGTGAGCTGACACACACACACACAGAAAGAAAGAAAGAAAGAAAACGGACAACGCAAGGGAGGGATGGGAGGACGGCACGCCGCCACCACACAGGCTTAAGAACATACGCCCGCCCGCGGCAGGCGAGGACGCCCGAAGCGCTGCGAGGGCTGATGGAGCTCTGCAAGCAGCCCTGCGACGGGATCGAGCCCAAGCCCGCCAACCCGGAGCAGGGAGCGGTGCCCGAGCCCGGGAAGGCGAGTTGGCAAAACAGAGACACATGCTGGCAAAACAGAGACACATGCAGAAAAAGGATAGGGCACGGCGGCGATCTCGCACTACAAGATTAGCCTATCATATTCTCCCTGCGCATACATGCACATCCGGATCATCCCATCTGGCTCTCGTGCTCAGCCAAAGGCGGCGTAATAATCAAGCCTGGTTCGTTCGCTGCCGTCCCTCGCTGGGCAACGTCCGCGCGTTTTGATGCGTGTGGCGTTACGCCCGTAACGTCGCGCCCCCCTGCGCCTGGGAGAGTGAGCAGTGAGGACCTCTCACTCGAGTGAGGACCTCTTCGCGAGGAACTCCCTGTGAGGACCTCTCATCCAGTAAGGCCTCCCGTACTTGGAGCAAGTGAGGACCTCTTCGTGAGGACCTCCCATGCAGCCATGCAGCCATGCAGCCTAGAGCTCTATACACGTGGCTTCACGCAATGATAGCCACACATGTGCAGTTATCAACCGCAGTGGTGAGGACCTCTCTCTCACTCGGAGTCAGTGAGGACCTCTTCGTGAGGACCTCACTGTGAGGACCTCTCGTTCTGAATCTCCCAAGCTCAGGCATGCTGCAGCCTACACGTCCGGGCCGCGCACACTGATAGCCACACACAGGGACCTCGTGCAACGCAACCGTGCGGGGCGGGGCTCAGAGGGCGGGGCGGGGAAAAGGCGGAGCCGCAGGGCGCTGGCGCTGCCGTCAGACATGTGCGATATATTTGTCTCGGCAGAGTATGGTGGATCTAATTAGGAACAGGAAGTGCTGCACCGTGAGCACTTCCTGTTGCTCGTACTCGACCATCAAATAAACTCAAACAAAGGTCCACCACAGCCACCAGCCTCCACCTCCGCCGTCCTCGAGCCGAGATCGCCGCCGCCCGCGACGCCGCCCGCCGCGTCAGATGCCCGCGACGCCACGCGTGGAGTCGAATCTTAAAAACACACACACACACTGTTACGCGACCTCGAATTCTTTTTTCGAAGGTGCCTCTCTTGGTGCCGCTGGACTGGCGACCAGCTTCCAAACACATATGGTGCCGCTGCTGGCCTGCTCGCTCCTCGTCGCGAGCCTTCCCGTCTCGCGTCGAAGTCTCCTCGCCGTCGCTGGCTCGACGGGGATACGTCCACCGGTACAGCCAGTCAGTCCGTGGCTCGGCCCCGCAGAAGCCACGCTGGCTGGCTCGAGCGTCTTTTGGGTCCGTCCCGGCAGCCAGCCGTCCTCGCCCTCCCTCGTCAAGTATGAGCCGCAGATGGCCCTCGATGTTTTATCCGCCGCTCCGAGCCGTGGCGGCGCTCTCTTCGTCGGCGAGCACCACGATTCTGCATCAGACCACGTGCTGCAGGCGAGACGCTTCCTAGACGCGACCTCCGGGCTGCAGACCGCTCTCTGCCTGCTGCTTCACGTTAGTGTGACAATCCCACACAGCGCGCAGAATCACACACACACACACACACACACACACACACACACACACACACACACACACACACACACACACACACACACACAGAGAGAGAGAGAGAGAGAGAGAGAGAGAGAGACAGACACACACACACTCACTCACACGCACATACACACGCACACACACGCACGCACGCACGCACACACAGAGAGAGAGAGAGACACACAGACACACACACACACGGCGTAACTCGCCCAGATGCCGCCAACCCTCTCTCTCTCTCTCTCTCTCTCTCTCTCTCTCTCTCTCGCTCCCTCTCGCTCTCTCCCTCTCTCTCGCTCTCGCTCTCTCTCTCTGGATACCTCTGGCTCTTTCCCTTTTTATAGCTCTCGCTCTCTCTCTCTCTCTCTCTCCCTCCCTCCCTCCCTCCCTCCCTCCCTCCCTCCCCCCCCCCCCCTCTCTCCCTCTCTCTCTCCCTCTCTCTCCCCCTCCTTCTCTCTCTCTCCACCTCAAAAGTGATGCACAGACCTGCAGCTCGCCGCACAACGGCGTCACTCGCCACCAGATGCCGCCAACCCTCCCCTGCAGGCGGCCCTCATCACCAGCCTCCGCCAGCAGCGCGGCGCCGTCCCCCTCGCTGTCGGCCTCGAGGCGGTCCAGCGCCGCTTCCAGCCAAAGCTGGACGAGTACTCTCGCGGCGAGCTCAGCCTGTCGCAGCTGCGCGAGGCGAGGGAGCCGAGATACAGCCGAGATATAGCACGCTCTTGCGGCTGCACCCGGCGTAGCTGCGGATCGAGTCGGACCGGCGGTGGGCGTGTCCACGCCCACGACACGTCCACGACATGTCCACGACACGTCCACGACACGTCCACGACATGTCCACGACACGCCCACGACATGCCCACGACACGTCCACGGCACGTCCACGACATGTCCACGACGCGTCCACGACACGTCCACGACATGTCCACTACATGTCCACGACACGTCCACGACACGTCCACGACACGTCCCGCCACCAGGCGGTCGAGTGGGACCGGCGGTGGGCGTGGCCGTTCGAGCGGTACTCGCCCGTCTTCTCTGCGGCGCGGGCGGCGGGCGCGAGGCTGCTCGCGCTGAACGTGGACTCGGAGGACCTGCAGACCGTGCAGCGGGGGGGCTTCCAGGAGCAGACACACACGCACACATCCTCTCACACCGCTCCCCCGTCCCCTCACCACGCACCGGGCCTCGCACTCTGGAAGGCCGTGCCCGCTCCTGGCGTCTAGACGTGGAGTCGCGAGGGACTAGCCTCGCCCTCGCCCCACCACCCCGTGTGTGTGTGTGTGTGTGTGTGTTGAAGTGTCCCCTCCCCCTCCCCCCCCCTTACCAGGAGCTCGGCCGCGAGCGCCTCGCGCGCTACATCCCCGACGCGGCCGGCTTCGCCGACTTTTCGACCACGCGGCTGTTCCGCTCGTACGTGGACCACGCCGTGCGCCCGTCGTACGAGGTGGGCCGAGATTACCCGAGATCACCCGAGATTGCCCGAGATGTCCCGAGATGTCCCGAGATTACCCGAGATTACTCGAGATTACCCGAGATGGCCCGAGATGGCCCGAGATGGCCCGAGATGGCCCGAGATGGCCCGAGATGTCCCGAGATTACCCGAGATGGCCCGAGATGGCCCGAGATGGCCCGAGATGGCCCGAGATGGCCCGAGATGTCCCGAGATTACCCGAGATGGCCCGAGATGGCCCGAGATGGCCCGAGATGGCCCGAGATGGCCCGAGATGGCCCGAGATGGCCCGAGATGGCCCGAGACTGCCCCAGACTGCCCGAGATCACGCCGTGCGGCCGTGCTACGAGGTGGCGACCCCATATCTCGCCATATCTCCCCACATCTCCCCACAGGTGCACCGGCAGCTCGGCCTCCTGCCGGCAGAGACGAGCTTCACTCACTACCTCTCGACGAGGTTGCTCTGGGACGAGGCGAGAGGCGACTCGAGATTGCACGAGAGGACTCGAGATTGCACGAGAGGACTCGAGATTGCACGAGAGGACTCGAGATTGCACGAGATTACCTGAGACTACCCGAGAGAGGCGAGGGGGCGCCGCACGAGATTGCCCGAGATTCCTCGAGATGACCCGAGATCCCCCGAGACACAGGCGATGGGCGCCGCCACCGCCGCGTGGGTGCGAGACAATCCTGGCGGCCTTGCGATATCGCTGGTGGGGAACGGGCACGCCTCCTTTGGGTGCGGGGCGCCTGCCCGGTGCGAGATGAGCCGAGATGAGCCGAGATGAGCCGAGCCGACGCCTTTTTCCCTTTGGGTGCGGCCGAAGTGGAGCGGTTCAGTCGACTCTTGAACTTGAGAGAGCAGGTCGCGCCGCGCGCCTCCAGCGCCGCAGCACTCCGCCGTGGCTGATGGCGCACGGCCGAGAGTTGATCCTGCAGGTGCGGCCGAGCGCTCGGAGGGGCGGAGCATATCCGGACCGTCCTTCTCAACCCGACGACTCGAGACACGGAGAGGCAGGAGATGCGCCTAGAGTGGCTATAGCCAGCTGCTCACAAGACACTCCCTAGACGCCTCCTAGACACCTCCTAGACACCTCCTAGACACCTCCTGGACACCTCCCAGACGCTTCTTAGACGCTTCTCAGCCCCTTCTCAACCCCACAAAAGAGCCGCCACACCTCTCTGAACGCAGGAGCTGCGCGAGGGCGGGCTCGGGCCCGCCTACCCGCTCACCACGCTGCAGCTGCCGCTTCCGCCGCCGCCGCTGCAGGAGGGGGGCGGCGGCGCGGGCGGCGCGGCTGCGGGCGAGGCTTCAAGAAAGGAGCAGGCGGCGGCGCGGCTAGCGGAGTCGGCGAGGCTGAGAGCGCTTGGGATGTCGGTGATCGACCTAGCGCCCCCGAGGGCCGACCCGAGAGCGGCCAAGCGGGGCGGCGAGCAGAGGGCTCCCGTGGAGCAGCCTTTCACAGGGCTGCGGCCGGCGGCGGCGGCACCACCGCCCGCCGCGGCGTGCGCGGTGCCGGTCGCCGATTTCCTGTGGTTCTCGAGGCACGTTTCGTGCAAGGAGGTGCACGCGGCGCCCGCCTTCTCGCCCGCCCCTCTGATCGGCAGGGCTGCGGCGGGGGTCGGCGGGGCGCCCCGGCTGCAGCCACTCGCTTACGTCCACAAACACTGAGAATTCAAACTTACTGCTGAGGACGTATTTACTTGAGAGAAGCTGGTCGGAGACGGAGTCTCAACGCGGTGTATTCCCCATATATGTCGCAGAAAACCAAGAGCCGCACGACGCTCCTACCACACTAAGCGGTTCACGTTCTTTAACTTTATCGAGAGCAGGCGGACACATCGCTTTCAGGGAGGGCGCCGCGCGCGCCCTACCCCTAGCACATACCTCTCACTCCCTTCACGCAGCTCGCTCTAACGCTATCAATCAAACCAGTATGAATCATGTGACTTGCGAGCCGCCAGACGACGCAGCTCGCAGGGCAGAAGACGGTGAGGCGGAGCAGACGCGCAGGGCGAGACGAGGGAGGGAGCAGGACTTTGCGGAGATCAGCAGGAGGATGTACGAAGAGATTAGGAGCAGCAGGGACCCGAGGGACCATGTGGAAGACGGCTAGTGCTAGTCCCCCATCGGGAGGACGACCCCGGCGCTAGTCGCCGACCACACCCACAAAGAACCCTGCACAAAGATCGCAAGGGCGGGGACCTGTTCCTTTTTACCCATCTCACAGTAGAGAGGTGTCCGTTTTTATTTATTTATTTGCGAGCCGCCTCCTGGAAGAGCTCGTGCGACTGCGGTGACCACTCCGCGCGAGCGGCCCCGCGCAACCGCAACGCGCAAGCAGCGGAGAGCAAAGAATTTAACCTCACCCCAAAATCGCAGCTTCCTCCAGCGAGCATTTCGGCAGTCGCCAGAGGGTGGCGTTCAGCCGCGGGTAGTCCTCAAAGAGGCGCGCGTTCCACGGCTTGTACGCGCGGCCCATGGCGTTGATGGACGCGCAGCTCATGATGCGCTGCTTGCCGTCGTACTCGTGAGTATTCGGGTGTGGCATCACCCCGCTCGCGTTTACAAGATGACCCATGCCAAGGTGCGCAAAGAGCTCCTGCTGCACTGACAGCGCGCTCCGGGAAAAGAGCGCCTCCATCTGCATAATTAGCAGCTGAGAGGGCGGAAAGTATTGCTCCCACAGCTGCAGCATCGCCCAATAGAAGCCGTAGTGGATGCCACCCGCGGGCATGCCAACCGTCCAGTCACTGCAGGGGACTCCACACCGGACACCGCCCGGGTACAGACCCCCTACCCGTCGGATTGCGCAGGGCCCCCTCGGAGCAGCCCACACACAATCACACATCGGCAGAATTAGTGCCTGAGTCAGGCAGACAGCACAGACAAGGAGAGGAGAGGAGAGAGAGAGAGATAGGAGAGGGGAGAGGGTGAGGGTGTGTGCACACATGTGGAGCAGGGAGGGTGTCTGTGGCGGGTTGTAGTCATACTACGTGGTTAGAACCACGCGCCCCTCAGGAGCTAAGGTAGAGCTGAGCGTCCAAGACGCCTCGGTGCCATCCACCGGGTGAGACCATCCGGATCAATCGAGCCCGCCTCCGGCGGGCCGTCCCCGCGATGGCCCACAGTCCTCCGTCGCCTGGTTGACCCCCCTGCCTCCCGGTTGAACCCCCAGTCCTCGTACTCGACCATTGAATAAACTCAAAGGTCCACCACAGCCTCCAGCCTCCACCTCCACCCGCGAGCCGCCACCGCTGCCGCCCGCGACGCCGCCCGCCGCGTCAGATTGCCGCGACGCGCGCATCGAGTCGCGTCGGAGAGCCGCGCCGCACCAGCAGCAGCATCTGCACCACCAACAGCAGCAGCAGCAGCACCACCACCACCAGAGAGAGAAGCGCACCTGCCCGACGCCGCCCGCCGCGTCAGATGCTCGCGACGCGCTCGTCGAGCCCAGTCGCAGAGCCGCGCCGCGCCAGCAGGCCAGCAGCATCTGCACCATCAGCAGCACCATCACCACCACCAGCAGCAACAGAGAGAGGCAGTGCAGGCGCAGAAGCACTCGCAGAGCGGCGCGCAGCGCCGCGCACGCCACGCCGCGGGCGGTCGGACGAGCGCGGTGTGCGCCGGCGGCGAGCCGCGGCGCCAGCCGTCTCGCGAGAGAGCGGCGCCGCCGCGTGCGCGCAGCAGCCGCCGCGGCAGAGGCGAGCCGCGGCGACGTCCGCACAACAACGGATAACTGCCATTGGCGGTTTTCACACACACACACACAGTACGCACTTTTTTTATTTTCTGCCCAAGTCACTGTCGCCGCCGCGGCCGAGACGGCGTCCCCTTGCAATCGTGCGCAGTGCCGCCCCTCGCACTCCGCTCCGCCGCCGCCGCCGCGCCGCATCCGCCGCCGCCGCCGCCCCGCATCCCCGTCACCGCGCCGCCGCCTCCGCACCGCAGGCAACTAGACACGCCCGCGCCTCATGCTTCCGAGCGGCTACCAGAAGCTCTCCGACCCGAGCACCGGCCGGCCCTACTACGTCAACCTCGTCACCGGGCAGACGAGCTGGACGCCGCCGTCCGGTGCGGCGGCCAACGGAGGCGCCGCGCCGCCACCTCCGAGCGGCGGCGGCGGCGGCCTCGCCGCCAACTGGGAGGAGCGCCTCGATCCGTCGACCGGCCGCACGTTTTACATCGACCACGCGACCAAGCGGACGACGTGGGAGCGCCCGACGAGCGGGGCGCGGGGCGGGGGTGGCGGGTACGGCGCCACGCCGCCCTCGCAGCCCTCTCGGCCGACGCCGCCGCGCGCCGCGCAGCAGCCGTCCGGTGGCAGCCAATTGAAGAGTGACGCAGAGCTCGCCAGGGAGCTGGCCGCGCAGTGGGACGCAGAAGACGAGGCGGCGGCAGAGGCGCCCGCGGCTCGCTCCCGCGGCGGCGGCGCGGCGGAGGCGGCCGGCGGAGGCGGCGGCAAGAAGGGGGCGGCGGGCAAGCAGACGGAGGGTTGGGCGAAGGACGACGAAGTGACGCAGTGCTTTCTGACTAGGCACTTCCTAGACACTTCCTAGACACTTCCTGGACACTTCCTAGGTGACGCAGTGTTTTCTGACGGGCGTCAAGTTCACGCTGGTGCAGCGGAAGCACCACTGCCGGTACTGCGGCCAGATCGTGTGCGCGGACGTGAGCAAGAAGACAGCCAAGGTGCCAGGCCGTGGGGTGAGCGAGGCGGTGCGCGTGTGCGACGTCTGCTACGAGCAGCTCGAGCGCGGCGACCCAGTCTGCATCGCAAAGCAGGTCGCTAAGTTGCGGTCCGAGTCGGAGACCGCGCGGCAGCAGGTTGCCGGGAGATGGCCGAGAGATGGCCGGAGAGATGGCCGAGAGGTTGCCGGGAGATGGCCGAGAGATGGCCGGAGAGGTGGCCGAGAGGTTGCCGAGAGATGGCCGAGAGATGGCCGAGAGGTGGCCGAGAGGTTGCCGAGAGATGGCCGAGAGATGGCCGGGAGATGGCCGAGAGGTGGCCGAGAGGTGGCCGAGAGGTGGCCGAGAGGTGGCCGAGAGGTGGCCGAGAGGTGGCCGAGATACAGCAGGCGGCCAATTGGGCAGCATGGACCCTTCTCGGACCCTTCTCGGACCCTTCTCGGACCCTTCCCGGACCCTTCTCGGACCCTTCTCGGACCCTTCTCGGACCCTTCTCGGACCCTTCCCTGCAGGCGGCCAAGGAGCTGGCCAACTGGGCCAGCATGGACCCGCAGTTCGCGGACAAGGGCATCGTGCACGCCTTCGAGGCTCCGCGTGCGCCCGAGCTGCTGGCCTTTGATTCGCCCGTCTGAACCAAGCGTTGACTCACTGCCAGGCCTTGCGTGCGCCCGAGCTGCTGACCGAGCTTCTGCAGACGGCGACCCCGGACACGCAGGCATGCCGTCGCCATTTCGTCACTAGCTCTCGGTGTGCGTGGTGAGAGGGGCGCTTAGCGGCAGCGTCCTTGCAAACGAAGGCGGGCGTGGCGAAGCTGCTGTCGGCGATGCTCGGCTATGACGAGTACCGCGAGCTGCTGCACGAGGATCGCGAGCGCTTTGATGCGATATCTCGGCTGCACCTCGGCTGCGTCTCCGCTGCCTCTCCTCTGTCTCTCGGCTGCGTCTCGGCTGCCTCTCGGCTGCCTCTCGGCTGTCTCTCGGCTGTATCTCGCGAGCTGCTCGGTGCGATCCTCTGCGCCTCGCCACAAGTCGCCAGCACGTGGCGGTTGGTGCGTAGGAGCGCGAGCTTCTCGATGCGATCCTCGCGCTGGTCCGCTCGGGCGGCACTGAGAGCAAGGTCAGCGCGATGTCGGCTCTCGCCTCCCTCACCGCCTCAAAGAGCGGAAGGAGCGAGGTGCGCCAAACCACGGAGCATCTCGGCTGTATCTTAGCTGCCTCTCGGCTGCCTCTCGGCTGCCTCTCGGCTGCACCTCGGCCGCACCTCGGCTGCCTCTCGGCTGCACCTCGGCTGTACCTCGGCTGCCTCTCGGCAGGTGCGTCGTGCCAAGGGGCTGGTCATCGTGCTCGACGTGCTTCTCAACACGTCGCACGAGCCGCTGCAAGAGGTCCACTCGTAGACACTCCCTAGGCACCTCCTAGGCACTTCCTAGACACTTCCTAGGCACTTAGGCACCTCCTAGGCACTTCCAGGCACTCCCAAGACACTCCCTAGGCACCTCCTAGGCACCTCCTAGACACTTCCTAGGCACCTCCTAGGCACTTCCTAGACACTTCCTAGGCACCTCCTAGACACGGGCCGCTGCAAGAGGCGGCCTGCCTCGCCTTCGCTCACTGCTCACGCAGTGCCACCGTGCACCACCTCACACAAGAGGCCCCACGTTCACAGGCCACCTGCCTCGTCCTCGCCAACTTGTGCGAGGACCCGACCGGCGACTGGAAGCAGCTGCAGCAGAACGGCGCCGTCTTCTCCGTCGCACACATGCTTGGCTCCGCCTCCGCCTCGCTGCAGGAGCGCACATGCCATCGGCAGTCGGGCTCGGGAGGGGGGAGGGGGGGGGCGCTCTGACACGCCCTCGCCACGCTGCAGGAGGCGGCTCTCACCCTGCTCGCGATGCTCTGCTCGCACAAAGAGTGCCGCGAGCAGGCGCTTGGCGCTTCTTCTTCGTCGCCTTCTCCTTCTCATTCTTCTTCTCCTCACTCCCATTCTTCCTTTCTCATGAATGTCTCATTCCTCCTCTTCTCTTCTTCTTCTCACAAGGAGTGCCGCGAGCAGGCGGCCGACTCGGGCGTCGCCACCTCCCTCACCCCCCTCCTCGGCTCGACCGAGCTAGTCTGGCCTCGCCACGCCCTCGGCCCGCTCGCTCATGGTGGCGCATTCTGAACTAGGCTCGACCAAGCCGGACGTGCAGCGCGCAGCTCTCGCCCTCGCCCAGCAGCTCTGCGCCTTCGGCCGTGCGGCAGACGCGCTGCTCGAGGCGCGCTGAAGAAGGGGTGCACTGGGGAGGGCTCAAGTCTGAAGAAGGGGTGCACTGGGGAGGCCTCAAGTCTGAAGAAGGGGTGCACTGGGGAGGGCTCAAGTCTGAAGAAGGGGTGCACTGGGGAGGGCTCAAGTCTGAAGAAGGGGTGCACTGGGGAGGCCTCAAGTCTGAAGAAGGGGTGCACTGGGGAGGGCTCAAGTCTGAAGAAGGGGTGCACTGGGGAGGGCTCAAGTCTGAAGAAGGGGTGCACTGGGGAGGCCTCAAGTCTGAAGAAGGGGTGCACTGGGGAGGCCTCAAGTCTGAAGAAGGGGTGCACTGGGGAGGCCTCAAGTCTGAAGAAGGGGTGCACTGGGGAGGGCTCAAGTCTGAAGAAGGGGTGCACTGGGGAGGGCTCAAGTCGCCGTCTGATTGAGTGCTGATTCTCTGCTGCTGCTCGAGGCGGGCGCCGCTTCGCCCCTCGCGGCGATGCTCCTCTCCCCCGGCACGGGCAGCAGCGAGGTGGTCGCCGCCGTCCTCGAATGCCTCAGCCGGCTCGCGGACTCGGGCCTGACCCAGGCGCAGCCAGTTAGCCATGCAGCGTTGACAGACATCTCCACTAGCCACCACCTCTGACCGGCTCGCGGACTCGGGCCTGACCCAGGCGCAGCGCGCCGTGCGCAACGTCGGCGCGGTGCCGCACCTCATCCAGTTGATGAGCCACCAAGACGGCCGCATCTCGCGCTTCGCGACGTCTCTCGTCTCGAGGCGTCTGTTGCCGCTGTCCTTGCTAGTCTACCATCACCACCACCGCCGCCATTCTCTTCTCCTCCTTCTCCGTCTTCCATCGCTACCATCCCCATTGCTGTTGTCACAACGCCTCTTCTGACTGTCCTCTTCGCGCGTGCCCAGCCTTTGCCCCGGCGACGTCCAGAACGCCGAGCAGCTCTTCGAGTCGGGCAGCCCTTCCTAGACACTTCCTAGACACTTCCTAGACACCTCCTAGCAGCTCTTCGAGTCGGGCAGCCCTTCCTAGACACTTCCTAGACACTTCCTAGACACCTCCTAGCAGCTCTTCGAGTCGGACAGCCCCTCGTCCTGCTGTCGGAGGACGTGTCCAGGACACGTCCATGACATGCCCGAGACATGTCCACAGGCAGCCCCGTCCTGCTGTCGGAGGACGTGTCCAGGACACGTCCATGACATGCCCGAGACATGTCCACAGGCGGCCTCGTCCTGCTCTCGGAGCAGCTCGACTCTGGCGACGAGCGCGCGCAGCTGCAAGCCCTGTCCGCGCTCTCGCAGCTCTCGGCGGAGCCCGTGCAGGCGCACGCGATTGTGGAGAACGGTTGCCTCACCTCGACGCTGCAGCTGCTCGAGCACCCGAACCAAGAGCTGCGCGCGTACGCCGCCATCACCTTCGGCAGCCTCCGCTCGGCGGGCGCCCTCACGCCTAGCGAGTGAGTGACGGCGACTCGCTTCGAGTCAGGCAACCTCTGCTCGGCGGGCGCACTCACGCCGGCGCAGCTGCAGCACCCGTCGGTGCTCCCGCACCTCGTGGCGATGCTCTCCTCCTCCAACGCGCTCGCCAAGGGCCCCGCCGCCGCCGCCATCGCCTCGATGGCATACCAGCCCGCGCTGCGGCAGCAGCTCATCAGCCAACGCCTCGACCGCCGCCCGTTGCGAACTAGGCCAACCAGCCCTCGCTGCGACAGTCGCTCCACGAGCTCGGCGGGCTACCAGGCCTCGCCGCGCTGCTCGAGCAACTCAATCATCAACCCCATGTGAGTGAATGATTGCCAGCAGGCCTCGCCGCGCTGCTCGAGCTCGACGTCGAGACCTCGTACCACGCCGTGCAGGCCATCGCACAGTTCGCGGCCGACGAGCGCTTCCGGCAGGTGCCTAGACACTTCCTAGACACTTCCTAGACACCTCCGGCAGGTTCCTAGCCGACGAGCGCTTCCGGCAGGTTCTGCCGGAGGTCGGGCGCCGTCGCCAAAGCCAAGCCATGCGTTCGAGTGATCAGCGCGTCCGTCGAAACAGGTTCTGCCGGAGGCGGGCGCCATCGGCCCCCTCGCCGGGCTGCTGTCCTCGCCGCAGCCGCACGTGCAGCATTGCGCCCTCTCCGCCGTCGCCAACCTCTCCTTCGTCCCGTCGGCGGTGGGTCCGCTGTGCCAGAGCGGCGCGCTGACAGTGGTCGGGCAGATGCTCTTCTCCCACGACGCGGCGGTCCAGACGATGCGAGCCGGACCGCGCTCTGCAGTCTGCCTAGGGAGGGCGGAGGGTTGAGGAGGGTCGATGACCAATCAGGTGCCTGACCACGCTGTGCAATCTGCTCGGAGGAAACGCCGCGTCCGCCGACGCGCTGCTGCAGGCCGGCGGCAAGTGGCGCCGCCCTCTCGCCGCCTCTCGCTGTCGATGGTTCGCGGCGTCGTCTTGCTAGGTCGGCGGGCACGTGGCGCTGCTCACCCAGCTCTCTTCGCCGTCGCCCGACGCGCAGAGCCAGGCGGCAATGTCCATCGGCCACATGTGCCGTCACCGTCCGGCGGTGCAGGCGCTTCTGCAGGCGGAGACGGTGCCGTCGCTCTCGCACGCGCGCTTGCACCCGCCGAAGGGCAGCTCGCGAGGATGAGTCGCCAGTGATTGATTCCTCAGGTGCCGCTGCTCTCGCACCTCCTCCACTCGCCGCACCCGGCTGTGCAGCTGCAGACCGTCTACGCGCTCGGCGCGCTGGCGGCGGAGGAGGAGGCGGCGGCGAGTGCGGTGCAGGTCGCCGGCGCCGTGGCGCCGCTGACGACGCTCCTCCTCTCGAGCGGCGCCGTGGAGGTGAAGCAGCACATCGCGCTCACGCTGGCGCACACCGTGCGGGGGAGCTGGCGGCTCGTCTTCAACGCGGGAGGCTTCCAGGCGCTTCCTAGACACTTCCTAGACACCTCCTAGACACCTCCTAGACACCTCCGAGACACCTCCTAGACACTTCCTAGACACCTCCTAGACACTTCCTAGACACCTCCTAGACACTTCCTAGACACTTCAACGCGGGAGGCTTCCAGGCGCCGCTGGCACCGCCATGGCCCGACTCGCATGCGTCGTCTCCTCACTCCTTCTGGCTGCTCCTCCAGGCTTTGCTGGACGTGCTCGCCGCCGGCGCCGAGGCGGAGCGGCAGGACAACCCCGGCCTCCCCTCGGCGCCATCGCGGCGCCCTCTCGGCTGTAGGAAGCGAGGCGGTGCAGCAAGACGTGTCCCTGACGCTGGCGGCGCTGCTCGAGGACGTGCACCAGCGGGGCGCGCTGCTCTTACTAGCTTGCCACTTCCTAGACACCTCCTAGACCCATGCTAGACACTAGACACTGCCAGACCTCCTAGACACTTCCTAGGCACCTCCTAGGCACTTCCTTGACACCTCCTAGACACTTGACCTCAGGCCGGAGGCGTGCCCACCCTGCTCCGGCTGGTCGAGTCGAAGAAGCCTGCCGCCGTCGCACCCGCCGCGAGGGTCCTCGCCAACTTGCTTCGCGATGAGCCGCCGGCCGGGCTCCCCGAGGCGGTTGCGCCGGCGCAGGCGCAGGCCCTGTCCAGGACACGTCCACGACATGTCAAAGACACACGTCCGCAGGCGGTTGCTCCGGCGCTAGTGCAGGCCCTGTCGACGGCGAAGCCTTCCGCTGTGGTTGACCTGCTCTCCGCGCTCTCCCACGTGCACGGCGTCTGCAGGCGCCCCCTCGCCCGTGGCCTCCGCCACGCTTGTGCAGGGCGTCTCTTCACACCTCTCTCTTCACACCCCTCGCTGCTCTGCTCTCGTGGGCCTCGCCTCGCACACGAAGCGCACCCCCCCCCCCCCCAATTAAACAGACGAAAGTCCGCTCAGATCGGCCTCACCCATGAGTGCGATTGGTCGGTCAGTCACCGATGAGTGCGTGTGCCGCCTCTTGATGCCAGCTTTCCCCCGAGCTCTCTTCACACCCCTCGGCCACTTGCACGAGGGTGTTTTCCTCGTCTCGGTCTCCCTAGTGACGACTCATTCCCCAGCCACTCGTGAGCAGTGCCTGCCCGTTGGCGTCGTAGGAGGGCGTCCCCCTCGTCTCGGTCTGCGCGCAGTGGGCATCCGACGAGGCAGCGGCCAAGGTCTGCCGCAGGCTCGTCGAGTGCCGCGCCTTCTGAGACATTCCAGAGACACTTCCGAGACATTTCCGAAGGTCTGCCGCAGGCTCGTCGAGTGCCGCGCCGACCCGAGCTGCCGCTCGCGCGCGGGGCTCTCGCCGCAGGCCTCTCCGAGACACTTCCGAGACACTCCCGAGCCACTCCCGCCCTACCGGACCTTTCCCGGACCTTTCCTGAAACCTCTCCTGAAACCTCTCCTGGACGGCTCGCTTGGACGGCTCGCCGCAGGTCATGGCGGCGCGCTCGGGCAACGCGGCGACGGCGGCGGCGATCGCGCAGCTGGCGGCGAAGGCGACGCCTCTCCCCTTTGGTCCAGCCCAGACCTCCTCTCCTCGTAGGCGCTCGCGCAGCTGACCGAGAAGCTCACCGACGGCGCGCGGGAGGGGCTCGACGCGGCGGCCGCTGGCACGCCTCCAGTGCAGCGGTGCGGGGTGGAGAGAGAGAGAGCCTTCCCTGACCCTTCTTTGGAACGATCCCCCGTGCAGGCCAGCCGCCGGTGGTTCGAAGAGCGACCCGTCGAGGCCGCGGCGGGAAGAACAAGAGCTGAGCACGCACGCCGGGGCGGAGTGGCAGTCTTTGTGGCGTTTCGGCGTGGTCTTGCCAGCCTGGTGAGGGGCGGGGTGCCGAGGCATCGTCTCACCATGCGTGAGGTCTGACGCTCTTCCTCCAGATCTGAGACGGGGCCGGGTGAGAGAGAGAGAGAGAGAGGGAGCCGAGCGAGCGGTATGATGACGTTCTCACACGGCTCTGACACTAGAGAGCTTCCCTCTACGTAGCTGTGGTGCTCGTGACTTTGCTCGTGCTGTTGACGTTGAGAGAGCTCCGGCGGCCCGCGCGCATGC